CAATTCTTTATCTATCGCAACTGGCTTAGGCCCTTTGTGTTGCACATTATTTCCTCCATAATCGATTATCTTCCTTCACTTAATCGATTAATTGCTTATCGCTGGATTTCTCTAGCTTCTAGCTTAATCAATTTTTATTCTTATATTAATCGATTAAGGCTCACAACGCCACCTAATTGATTTTCATATCCAGATTAATCGATTATTTCCGCGTAGAAGGAATCTTTCTCAAACTGCATTAATCGATTATTGACACTGCATTAATCGATTATTATGCTGCATTTTTTCATCACGACTTCTTTTCTTGGACCAACGGATATATTCCTTCAACCCCTTTATAAACTTCACTCCTTGGTCATTTTTACTATCAACAAGCACTCCTAAAATCCCCCAATCTTGAGGTTATAATCCTCCATTCATTTCTTCCTCAAATTGATATATTTTGAGAGAAAACTAAGTGTTTTCAAGAGAGTGTTCTTGTCATCCATAGAGCTCAATCTTTTCTCATTTCTACTCTTGTGAGAGTTATTGCTGAGAGGTTGAAGAAGATTGTTCTTCTTGTTGTTCAAGACTTATGTGACTTAAGTTTTGGTTGTGAAGTCTTGTAGATGGTACATCTACGAGCGGTTGTGTTGAGGCTTGTGAGATTCAAGTTCTCGGTTTGTAAACGGTTTGTCAAGCACCCGTTGAAGCTTGATAAGTAGTGGTAGCTTCGAGAGAGTCTCTCAGGGAATTGGACTAGCCACGAGGTGGTGAACCAGTATACATCGGTGTGTTCATTGCCTTCTCTCTTTTATTTCCGCTGCACTTACGTTTATTTTATTTATCCTGCGAAAATCGGTAATCATTCTCAACAACTCTATTCACCCCCCCTCTAGAGTTGCACGCCTTGTCTAACAATGTGCACGTTGGTAGCGCTCTTTCGATTCATAACTTTGCCTCTTGTTCTTTCGTCTCTTACCGAGCACGAAGGTTCGACTGGAGTCAACGCTTGACATGCTTTTGGTACTAATGGTACTCATCTAACAATGGCAGAGTATCAAAATGGGAACAAGTGAGCACATAATGAAATTAGTTTGTCGCTTCGATGTGTGCTCACGTGCTCAGGCACTCCTAAGTGGATCTACCTATCCATCGTTGCCTGTTTCTTTGATCATTCTCCATAAGGAGAGCTTAAATCAGATCTAACTACAATATAACATATAAGTGTATTGAATAACGGTGTACCTTTCCCTAGAAGTGATGTGATGGGAGATGCGGCTGTGGACTTTCCAAAATACCCTTTGACCAAGATGACAAAATATGTTTTTTTTCACAAAACCGAACTTCTCTGATACCAAATTGTAACACCCGCCTTTTGTGGACCCGGTTCACCCGCGACCCAACAGATCGGTAGGGTTACATGGGCGATCCGAGAACCGTCCGTAGTGGAAAATATTAATTCTCATCTATTATGAAAACGGTTGTGTTTAATTGGTGAAATAAATGCTAGGGAGTTATCCCCAAAACGTGTGTGTTATAAATGCAGCGTAAAGCAGAAGTAGATAAATATGTCCAAAACAAGTAAAACGAAAAATGGTGGGTTCTTGACCAAATGATTAATTGATTAAATATATATAAATATTGAACTCGCCCGTGCGCCACCCATCCTCCCATCACCACTGTCCTCCAGGGTTAGCATCTGTACCATCATGACTACCTGCGTGTAGCAAAAACAACTACACGCTCAGCAAAAGCTGAGGAGTGAATCTAACAAAAAACATGAAGTGATAACTCATATGATTATACACATATTAATACCTGTACTTAACGTACGGAAAACCACATGTTTACTAACTGTTTAGTTTGCACCTGTTAGGGGTACTATTACATATAACAAAATGATGTGCTACCACATTGAATGTTGATGTGAAGTGGAACATACATGATGATGATACGACTTGATGCATGACCTAAACTATCAGGGACACCCCTGGCTTAGCCTCACTTGACAGGATCACCCCTGCACTCCGGTTGTCACACCGAAACGGTAATGAGCCGGGAACAAGTGGACTAGCAAAACCAGGTAGTAGCCGTAACCTGACTACTATGTACGTACACAAGGCCCACCTGATGAAAACCCATTGATCCCGAAGGTTCCTGGATGGGCCCACTGTAGTAGGCGCACGAAAGCCTGACCTCCCTACAGCGGTATGCACATGATGAAAAACCTAAGACATGCGTCTAGGATGAACATGATGAATGCTTGGCATATTTACCTTTGGTCAACGCCAAGAATATACCAATTAAATAACATTTATAATGAAGATTAACATTTCATGCAAACAGACAAACAGATTCTGGGTCAATATGGTCAACGGTGCTCGTTTTAAAAACTGCCTGGAGTTCTGCCCGAAGAACGGTCGACCGTACCCTAACGGCGGTCGACCGTGGGCCACGGTCTGGGTCTGGTTCACAAACGGTCCACCTAGGTCTTCCATCACGGCTGACGGTTGACCGTCCCGGTGGTGACTATCGGACTGGCCGAGGGTACGGTCCACCGTCTAAAGTAACAGTCGACCGTCTCGGTGACAGTCTTCTGTCCTTGGCTATGTTTTGATCCATTTTGCAAACTTAACACCTTGATTCTTTTTAGAACAATAATGTAAACATTGATGATTATATTCCTAGTGATTCCTAGGCCAATCTATGTAAGTTTTATGTAGTGAACGTTTTGATGGTTAACCTACGAACATGCATAGATTCTACGTAGGTTGCGTACGATATTCCTATGAATATAACGACATAGATTATAACTAAATGTTCTAGAATTAGAGGGGACAACTACTCACCTCTAAATGACGGGGTTGACGGAATGATGGTAAGAGATGAACGAACGACGTCTAATGAACGGACGGCTTCTCGCGCAAACCTTCTTCTTTTCTTCTCTTTCCTTCCCCTTCGTCTGCACGCCGGAGCTCGTCCTTTTGCCCTGGGCTGCTATGGCCAAAATCCACAACAAGGAGAAGAGGGAGATGGAGAGTGAATGTGTGTGTTGAATGAGATGGGGGTTACAAATGATGAAGAACATGAATGGGGAAGGGGGTTTTTATTAAAGGGGAAATGAATGGAATTGAAGAGGGAGTTAAATGAAAATGATGATGGTGAGTTGTGGGTGGCGTGGGTTTTGAAGGAATTGAATGGGGAGTTATCTCCCTAAATTCTATTCCGTTATGTAGAATCTGACCTGAACGGTACGCGCTATTTCCCCCCGAACGGGTCCGAATCGAGAACCGATTGCATTTTCGGAAATAAACTGTCAAAACTAAATTTATGACATGCTCAAATAATTTTTCTGAGGATTTTTTTTTCCCAACTCCGGTCCGAGTTAATAATTAATTACTACCTCCGTCCTAGAGTATTTGTCCACTTTCATTTTTACACACCATCCAATACACTTCTTTAATCTATTTTATCTTGTAATTTGTATATTAAAAAATTATAGAAATTATATATTAATAATCTATATGTTAAGACAAATCATACAAGATCAAACATGACTATATTTAGGCTTAGACATTGTGAGAATTTGATGAGTCAAAATGCTTAGATGAACAGTTCCAAAAGTCAAAACTGGACAAATACTCCGGGACGGAGGGAGTAATTAAATAAATCAATTCTATTAGACCAGGTTGTAGGGCGTTACAACCCATCGCTGGTAAGCCAATTTTCCTTCAGTTTTTGAAGACAACGGTCACCTTCCCATCGATGGGTAAGCACTTTCCATCGTTGGGTAGGAGGTTGACTTTCAAACAAGGAAGGAATCAGGCTTAAATGCCTTACAACGGTCATGCCTAACCAGCGATGGGTACACCCTCCCATCTTTGGGTTCCCAGCGATGTGTCCAAGTCCTCATCGTTGTCAGATGGGCATTCTGCCTTGGACTGATGTTGAATCAAGGCTTGTACAGCGATGGGTGGAACTCCCCATCGCTGTGTGGCATGGTTCTAGAATCCGGATGTGCTAAAGCCTCTTACCCATCGATGGGTAAAACCTCCCATCACTGGGTTGATGGCTTAGTAAAAAACCTATGGTTTTTGCCTGAGCCATGGCCTAGCCGACCGACGCTGAAACCTGACCGAAAAATGCGAAGTTCTCCAAAATAAAAACCAAGTGTTTAAAAAAAATATTTAATGTATTTCATGTAGAAACCAAGTATAATAACTTAAAAACCACTCCATTAAGGTAAAAACCACGGCTAGCCAAGTTTATGCCCTTTTGCATGGTTTTTGCCAAATGACCAAAAACGAGAGGTGGTTTTTGAAGTGTTTTTGTTGGAGAACTATTTAAAAGTGCCCAAAAGGAAAAACCAATAATAAAATGTTGAAAACCACTTGGTTGGTTCAGACGCAAGAAACCAACGCCGATATCCAAATGTCGAACGCCGGTTTCTGAAAACTGAATGCCGGTTTTCGAAAGCCGAACGTCGGATGGCTTTATTTTTTCTTTGGGCGAGCAACAAGTGTTTTTAATATATCTAAACATGTTTTAAAATCATTTTGATGATATGAGAAATGCAATAAAAAGGTTTTAGCCTAAAGGGCCAAAGTGTAAGGCTTGGGTCGGTCTTGATCACATTTGTGACCGACTCAACGACACTAAAACTACGATCTTCATTCTTGGTCTCTTTTAGCTCTTGTTCTCTTTTCTTTCTTCTCGTCTTTGTTTTTCGCCTTGTGTGTTCAACTATTTGTCTTGTTCACGGCGGTTTGGCATTATCAAAACCTGTCATGAAATTGAACACGGCATTAGTACAATAACGTGATAAACCCGTGTTTCAACAATTTCCTCCTTTTTTATAATGGAAAACAAGACGGGGTTATGCATAGGAGGATCGTTTTGAGACTTTGAAAAGATTGAGACTTTTGAAATATGTTCCCCCTTAATAAATGCAGCAAGGTTTATGCTTTGAACAAGAGTTGATGTTGTTAAACAATCTTGCCTTAGAAAAGTTTTGGAGAAAGTTCCCCCTCAATTTATGCATAACCTTTATATCTTCCCCCTTTTGACATTAACAAAGAGAATTAAAAGTAAACTTTTATTCATTAAAAAGGGAAATTCGGAATACAACGGATAAAAAATAAAAATACACTCATATTTAAAAATAAGTAAAATAAGTAAGAGGTCTAGGATTTGGCGTCCTCATCGTCGTCGTCATCTTCGTCATCCTCGACGTCCATGGGATCGCTGTCGACCGCATCTTTGAAGTCTTCCTCGTCGGGAGAGGAGGACGGAGCATAGGAAGCGTCGTCCTCTTCCCCACCCTCGAATTTTTGACTGAGAAAGGTGCTGTTGAAGGGCGGCGGGACGTAGTTGACCCCATGGAAGTACGCCCGCATGTCGTGATGTTGGCGCTGCAACGTCCAGTCCATCCGCTCGATTGACCGCCCCATGTCGTCCACCGTAAGGGTTAGCCGATTCAGGGTATCGGCTATGGATTGCAATGAGGCTTTGGCGGGGGCTGGGGAACGACTCGGGCATGTGCCGTCTCGATCTCTGGACTTCTTCCGGAAGGTTCTATCTTGAATGATCCAAATCTTTGTCATCTTGGTGTCTGGTCCGGCAATGTGGATGTCGAAGGCGACGATGATGTAATGACGAGGAAGGCGTAGGGCAAGCTCCTCTCGGTGCCGATGGAAGCGCAATCCGCCATGTGGATCATGACAAACTTTGCCTAGTTGATGTCGGCGCCATGGATGATTGTATGAATCGCCCTTAAGTCCTCGTTGAAGAATGAGGTGTGGCTGCTGTCCCGGGGGCGGAGAATCTGGGTGATGATGTAGAGAAGAAGGCGCTTCTCCAGCGGGGCCAAGTGGATCGTCGGAGCGCCACTGTGGCGGACGAGGTTGGTGATCCCAAGCTCGTGAATGACGGCTGCCTCGTTGTTGACGATCCATTCCTCTCCTCCGTATGTGGCGATGTCGTCTCCTCGGGTAGGCAGCCCTGCGATCCGAGCAAAGGTAGTCAAATCAATCTCTATGTCGTAGAGATTGATGCTACTGTCAGATCGTGTCACCCTCACGGCAGAGGTAGGAGTAGAACACCCGGATGAAAGCGGGGTTGTAGCTCGAGCACCTCTTGGAGACAAATGGCCACAGACCCGACACTTGAAGCTAATTGTCGAGGTCGTGATACCCCTTTTGTTGGGGGTACAACTCCGGGAGCACTCGAGGCGGAGAGATAGGGCGCTTGGCAAAGTGCGTGAGGAACCGGTTGAGTTCCTCCTCCGACTCGAACTCGAGAAAGGATCCGTCAAGGTAGGGGAATGGTTGAGGCGCTGAGGTTGTGGCATTGGCGTTGCCCTTCTTCTTGGAAGCCTTGGTCTTCGACTTTCCTCCGGCCATAGTTGAGGCGTTTTAGAAGAAAAAGTGAAGAATTATGTAGAATAGGCTGAAGGAATGAAATTCAGGATGTAAATGGTGTGTTAAAATGACCAAAAATGATGGATATATATAGGGAAAGGTGATAAATTCTGTTTGAATTCAAAAAATATGGTTGTTGGCCATTAAATGATGTGCCCAATGGCTATTATTTTTGAACTGTAACAGGCTTCCCAACGATGGTATGATTCACCCATCGATGGGAAGATAGACACTGGAAAGAGATGGAAAAAAATCAAGGTTGCCCTCCCAGCGATGTGAAGGTTTTCCCATCGATGGTAAGATGGCTACTAAAAAGGGAGGAAACAATTAAGGTAGCCTTCCTAGCGATGTTAAGACCATCCCATCGCTGGGTAGGGGGTTCTGGAAATCCATTAAAAAAATTTAAAAAATGAGTGTCAAACACCTAGCGATGGGAGGAAGTTCCCATCGATGGGTAGAGGGCTACTGGAAATCCGTTAAACATTTTTAAAAAAAATGTCAAACACCCAGCGATGGGAGGAAGTTCCCATCGATGGGTAGAGGGCTACTGGATTAGTAGATGCTTCCCTCCCAGCGATGGGATAAACCACCCATCGCTGGTTCCCCCTGACTTCCTGATTTCCTGACTTCGAAACGTTCCTGCAAAAAAGAGTTAGAAAACCCTTCGATGCTCAAGTTAGTAATCGTTCAACCAAGATAAAGGAGTAATGAAATGCACAAATTAGATCATTGTGTAGTCAAGAATTCTGAGTTCACTACGAATGCGGAAGAATGACTCTTTCTCTAAAGGTTTTGTAAAAATGTCGGCTAATTGGTTGTTTGTTTCAACGAACTCAATTTTGACATCACCTTTGAGAACATGATCTCTTATGAAATGATGCCTAATGTCAATGTGTTTCGTCCTTGAGTGAAGAACGAGGTTCTTTGTCAAACTTATGGTGCTAGTATTATCACACCGAAGAGGAACGTGATTTATACTAAGGCCATAGTCCACGAGTTGTTGCTTCATCCAAAGGATTTGAGCACAACAACTACTGGCGGCAACGTATTCCGCTTCGGTTGTGGATAACGCAACACTGACTTGTTTGTTACTAGACCATGAAACTAAAGAACTACCAAGTAAGTGGCAAGTCCCACTCGTACTCTTACGGTCCAACTTGCAGCCGGAAAAGTCCGAGTCGGAATAACCAACGAGATGACAAGAAGAGTCTTTGAGATACCACAGTCCAACGTTAACCGTTGTGGCAAGATATTTCATTATCCGTTTCACTGCCGTTAAATGCGATTCCTTCGGACATGATTGATATCTTGCGCAAAGGCATGCGCTAAACATGATATCTGGCCTACTAGCAGTAAGATAAAGAAGGGATCTGATCATACCTCGATACTTTTTTACCTCTACTTCCATACCTTTCTCGTCTTTGTCAAGATGGTCGGATGTGCTCATCAGAGTTGCCATGACTTTGGCATTGTCCATTTTGAACCATTTTAGAAGTTCTTTGCAGTACATAGTTTGGAAAATGAATGTGCCATCTCTCATTTACTTCACTTGAAGTCCCAAAAAGAACGTGAGCTCACCCATTATTGACATATCGAACTCGCTAGTCATTAACTTAGAGAATTCCTTGCATAGAGACTCGTTAGTTACACCGAAAATAATATCGTCTACATAAATTTGAACCAAAAGGATGTTGTTGTTTTTACTCTTGGTAAAAAGTGTAGTCTCAACCTTTCCCCTTTGGAAACCACTATCCAAAAGAAATTTGCTCAAACGTTCGTACCAAGCACGGGGTGCTTGTTAAGACCGTAGAGCGCTTTCTTGAGTTTGAAGGCGTAATCGAGGTACTCAAAGTCTTCAAACCCAAGGGGCTGGTCAACATACACTTCCTCTTGAATAAAACCATTGAGTAAGGCACTCTTAACATCCATTTGATAAAGTTTAAAGTCAATAGACGAGGCAAAAGTAAGAAGTAAGTGTATAGCTTCTAAACGTGCTATGGGTGCATAAGTTTCTTTAAAATCAATGCCTTCTTCTTGATTGTAGCCTTTAGCTACAATCCTAGCTTTGTTTCTAGTGATTATTCCATTTTCATAAAGTTTGTTACGGAACACCCATTTCGTACCGGTAATCGTACGATCATCGGGCCTTGGCACCAATTCTTAAACGTCATTTCGTTTGAATTCGTTTAGCTCCTCTTGCATAGCCAAGGTCCAATGTTCATCATTTATTGCTTCGGAAATGGTTGTAGGTTCAATTTGAGACACAAAAGCCAAGTGTCCTACGGTGTCCCTAAAAGAGTTTTGAGTACTTTCCCCTCGATTGATGCTACCGATTACCTGATCAAGCGGATGATTTTTGTTTGTTCTCCATGCGATGGGAAGATCAATTTCTTCTTCCTCTTGTTCCTGAGCTTCCTCTTGTTCTTCTTCTTCCTCTTGATCTTCTTCACTTTGGGTAGTCACTTGAGGTGTGTCCTTAGTTTGCGGCTGCGTGTTGGTGTATATTTGCGTGTCTTCTACATCGTCTTTGACGTGTATTCTTTCGAGTAAATCTGCAAGATCATCACAAATATCCTTTCTCGCTAAACGAGGCTTATCTTCAGAAAAGACAACGTGAGGGGACTCCTCAATAGTCAAAATACGTTTATTAAAGACCCTATAGGCCTTGCTACGTAATGAATAACCTAGAAAAATTCCTTCGTTCGACTTGACATCAAATTTGCCTAAGTTATCTTTGTCGTTGTTATGGATAAAACATTTGCAACCAAAGACTTGAAGATGGAAAAGGTTTGGCTTTCTCTCTTTGTATAGTTCATAAGGCGTTTTCATGAGTATCGGTCAAATGACGGCTCGATTTAACACGTAGCTCGTGGTACTCAGGGCATCCGCCCAAAAATAATTAGGGATTTTTGCCTCATTGATCATAGTTCTAGCCATCTCTTCGAGACATCTATTTTTACGTTCCACCACTCCATTTTGTTGTGGTGTACGTGGGGCTGGGAAATTATGATCAATGCCAAGTTCGTCACACAAATCCGAAAATAGATTTTGTTCGAAATCTCCCCCATGGTCGCTTCTTATGGCTACTATGGTTGTGTCTTTTTCATTTTGAACTTTCTTTAGAAAATTTTTGAAAACGTGAAATGCCTCACTTTTGTGAGTAAGAAACAAGGTCCATGTAAACCTAGAGTAGTCATCGACAATCACAAACGCAAAGTAATTACCACCTAAACTTGTAGTTCTAGAAGGACCAAAGAGATCCATGTGCAAAAGTTGAAGCGGTCTAGACGTTGAAACAACGTTCTTAAACTTAAATGAAGCCCAGACTTGCTTCCCCTTTTGACATGCATCACATATGGTGTCTTTTCAAACTTAAGTTTTGGGATGCCAATTACTAAGTCTTGTGACACTAATTTGTTCAAAAGGTTCATGTTCATATGAGCTACCCTTCGGTGCCATAACCAAATGTCTTCCTCTTTACTCATGAGGCACATAGCAAAGCCGGAAGGTGATTTGTCTAAGTTAACCATATATATATATATATTATCAATTCTATCACCACGTAGAATAACCTTATTGTCACTAAGGCGTTCTACCGTGCATGACTTTGAATCAAAGGTCATACGGTTTCCCTTGTCACATAATTGACTTATGCTCAAGAGATTGTGTTTAAGACCCCTTAACTAGCAAGACATTATCTATATAGGAGTCTTTGGACTTACCTACCGAACCAATGTCGATAATATTTCCCTTGCTATTATCTCCAAAGACTACGTTTCCTCCTTAAACGGGTTAAATTTGTAGGAACATGGATGCATCTCCGATCATGTGCTTGGAGCATCCGCTATCAAGGTACCAAAGTACACTCATGAGGCACTTAGCAAAGCCGGAAGGTGATTTGTCTAAGTTAACCATATATAGATATTATCGATTCTATCACCACGTAGAATAACCTTATTGTCACTAAGGCATTCTACCGTGCATGGCTTTGAATCAAAGGTCATACGGTTTCCCTTGTCACATAATTGACTTATGCTCAAGAGATTGTGTTTAAGACCCTTAAATAGCAAGACATTATCTATAGAGGAGTCTTTGGACTTACCTACCGAACCAATGTCGATAATCTTTCCCTTGCTATTATCTCCAAAGACTACGTTTCCTCCTTAAATGGGTTTAATTTGTAGGAACTTGGATGCATCTTCGATCATGTGCTTGGAGCATCCGCTATCAAGGTACCAAAGTACACTTGACACCTTCAAGCACACCTATGAAACACAACAATGAGTCTTAGGTACCCAATTTACATTGGGTCCTCGTGTATTAGGTGTGTGATGGTAGTGTGCTTGATTTTGTGAAAGGTGCCTATGCCTAGTGAAACAAATGGGGGCAATATGACCTATCCTATTACAATAATGGCAAACTACATTGGGATTGTACATGTGCCTAGGTTCGTAGTAGTTCCTAGGATGTCTAACCATATTGTTCCTATTTTGAGAAAAAGACGGTCTTTGAATACTTTGAAATTGATCTTTCCTAAGTATTCTAACATTATTTCTCCTATTTTGAGAAAAATTATTTTTATGCACAAAATCATTTTGATAGTTTTTCCTAGGTTGTCTAACATGTACATTTTCATTCATAGATTTTTGTCTAGGTTGTCTAGTGTCCTTAGGTTGACTAGATTTTCTATTACCCTGATTTTTAGTTTTCTTACGTTGAGCCTTAGGTTGTTGTCTAGGTGTTTGCTCAACGTTTTCTTTATTCTTAGCTTCATTTTTATTGAAACCTATTCCTTCCTTATAAAAATGCATGGTGTCAAGGAGTAAATTAAGATCTTTGTGCGGAGTATTAAATTTCTTAACTGTACTCTCAAGTTTTGTAACTTTTTCTTTTAAAGCTTTGCATGATTCACAATCGTTTGAAGAACTTTCCGGTTTGTCTATGCTTCTTTTGCCATAAAATTTATTTTCTTGTTTTAACTTTTCATTATCTTTTTCCAGTTTTTCAAAATCATTTTCAAGAGTGGAAAGACGTTTCTTTAATGATTTGTTGGTTTTAGAAGCTCTAACAAATTCATCGTAAAGCTCACGAAGTGCTTCTTGCATTTCTTCAAAAGTGTAAGAGTCGGAAGAGGTGGTACATACCTCTTGTACATCGTCGTTTTGGTCTTCGTGTGCTATAAGACAGAGGTTGGCAGCTTCATCCTCTTCTTGGTCGGTTGACTCGTCGCCGGAGTCGCCACCCCAAGAGATATACGCTCTTTGCTTTTTGAAGCCGAACTTGTCCTTGCCGTTTTTGCCTCTTGGACACCTCGGCTTGATGTGGCCTATCTCGCCACAGCAATAGCACGTCGGGGGACCGTCATGCTTCTTTCCTTTGCGCTCAAATTCCTTCTTCATGAACTTGTGGAACTCCTTGATGACGAGTCCGAACTCGTCATCGTCGCTTGAGACTTCTTCCACCGGTTCCTTGGTGGCTTTGAGAGCTATCCCCTTCTTCTTTTGTTCATCCAAAGACGGGGTTAGAATAGTATATTCATAAGTTTTAAGTTTACCTCTTAATCCGTCGATGGTGACGTTGGAGACTCTAATGGATTCATAGATGGCGTCGGCCTTTGATCTCCATTTGGGGGTGAGGCTTCACAGAATTTTCCTCACAAGATCCTTGTTGGCGTACGTCTTCTTGAGGGCATGAAGATCATTGATGATCTTCGAGAAGCGATCAAACATATCATCGATCTTCTCGCCTTGTTTCATCTTGAACATCTCGTACTCCTGCGTGAGAAAGTCAATTTTGGCTTCCCGAACTTGGTTCGTGCCTTCGTAAGTTACCTCAAGCTTGTCCCACATCTCCTTAGCGATTGTGCAGTAAGAGATCTTTCGATAATCGTCGGGGTTGACTACGCAGTAGAGAATTTTAATAGCCTTTGCATTGTTCTCTACCTTTTTAATGTCTTCGGCATCAAATTCGTCTTCGGTCTTTGGGACGAGTTTCTCCCCAATGCAACCTTTTTCATTGGCGTCTCTTCGCCATTCTTGATGACCAATCACAAAATACTGATGCTGATATGCTTTCCAAATTAACCCTGGTCAGAAAATACTGATGCTGATATGCTTTCCAAATTAACCCAAGCCTGCCCAGAGCATGTATCAAAGTTGGCAAATATTGAGATGCTAGACCAACCAAGTGCCGACCAGCTGGAAGTCGCGGCCGTCCAGCAGGGCCAGAACTCGCCGGTTGGGGTGATTGAAGCGGATGAAGGCTGGAGGTACGATCTCAAGGAATAGTTAATGACCGGCTAGAAACCGGACGACGAAGATCGGGCCATGAAGGTAGTCTTGCGAGCCCCCCGGTTTCAAGTCTTGGACGACCACTTATACAAACGCGCCATCGGAGGACCTTTGCTGCGCTGCCTCACCAACCCAGAGGCAGAACAGGTGATAGCTGAAGTACACGAGGGAGTTTGTGCTACCCACCAGATGTCCCCTACACTGGCCCAAAGGATACTTTTGCTCGGCTACTACTGGCCAACCATCGTTCGAGATTGCGAAAGGTATGTGCAAAAGTGTAGGACATGCCAGGTCTTTTACAAACATCCCGGCCGACCAGCCACATACTATCAACCAACCTCCAATGTCATACCCTTTGCCCGGTTTGGGATTGACATCATCGGAGCGTTCCCGGTTGCGCAAAGCGGGAAGAAATTCGTGATGGTTGTTATAGATTATTTTACCAAGTGGGCGGAAGCTCAAGCAATGGCCTCCATAACCGTCCGGCAATGTGAGAAGTTCATTTGGAAGAACATCATCACCCGGTTTGGGGCACCAAAGATGATTGTGACGGACAACGGCCCACAGTTTCGCAATCCCCAGTTCACGGCATATTTGGGTAGTTTTGGGATCAAGCATAACAAGGATTCGGTGGCACACCCCCAAGGAAATGGCCAAGTGGAAAACGCTAACCGGACGATAGTGGACGGGCTAAAGAAAAGGTTGGGCGAAGAAGGGTGCAAATGGTTGGAAGCGTTGCCCCATACAATCTGGGCACACAGGGTGACCTCTAGGAGAGCAACCAGGGAAACACCATTCGTGCTCACTTACGGATGTGAGGCCGGTTACCGATCGAGGCAGAGTTCTCAACATTTAGAGAAGCTATGTATCAAGCCGTTCAGAATGAGGCTGACCACATGGCCGAGTTGAATTTGGTAGAAGAGAGAAGAACAATGGCTGCCGTTAGAATGGCCAAGTATCAACAATCAGTAAAGAGATATCATGATAACCGGGTTGGTCCATGTTATTTCCAAGTGCACGATGAAGTCTTACGAAGAAGGGATGCTAGTAAGCCCAACGAAAGGGGCAAGCTGGTGCGCAACTGGGAAGGACCATATCGCATTACGATGATTATCCGCCTGGGTACTTATCAGCTTGAGACCATGGAGGGTGGGCGAGTCGATCGACATTGGAACTCAAACCACCTGCGCAAGTTTTATAGATAGTTGTAACATGTTCATTGTCATGAAATAAAACTTGTTCTTTTCAGAAATATTGTTTTTAATACCAGTCAGGAATTGGTTACAGACCAATCTGACCGGTTAGATGTTCAATCAAATTGGACACCTAAAAAAAGAAAAAAAGAGAGCCAGCTAGTCTGGTCAAACTATCCGTACTGACACGGTATCAAATGACGTAACAAAAAAAAGGAGCGCATCCCGGCTTGTTTAGGTCAAACGACAAGAATGCAAAGGTTTATCTTCAATACGAGCAGAAAGCCAATGTGGAAGATAAACCGATTTCATTTGATGAGGACGTGTTTGAACTTTGCTCACTTGGGTAAAAACCATTTGGGGAAGAGACTGGTCGGACTCCATCTCTCCCCGATCACCTAGCCTGTCTTTCGAAAAGACTTGGGTGAATTCTTTACACTGGGTAGATACAGCCGGGCTGTTTTTGAATACTCTACCCGGCAATAAATTTAAAGTTGAACGAAACATTTTAAGGGTAAAAGTAATCAGGTTCTTTTATCCAAACAAAAAAAAGAAAGTAAATTATTATTATTCAAACACTCAACACACAATATGGAAAATGTAACTTCATTAATATCAATGTTTTACAAAGTGCCCGGAGGCAGATCATTACATCCAGAAATATAAAAAAACAAAAGGATAATAAATCTGATCAGATCCCTTTGAAGGGGGCGACCAGCTCTTCATCATGAAGCTCGGGCACGGAGAATGTCTTGGGCTCGAAACCCTGGATGCGTCTCTGAAGGATCCCATAAAGTGCCCGCTGCTCCTGGTACTGGCCGCTTTCGAAACCAAAGGTCCCGATCTCATCGATGACCTTGGCCGATTCTTCATGCTTGTAGAGGCCTTGGAAGAACCGGATGCTGGCCTCCCGGTTAGGGATCGCCCGAGCAACAAACTGTTCAGGCTCTTGGGCTACCCAGGCTGCGGCATAGGTAGTCCGGTCGCTTCTCTCCCGTTCAAGTTCCGCTTTCAGATGGGCGATTTCTTTAGCGGATCGGGCGGCCTCTTCCTTCAGCTGGGCGGCCTTCTCCCTCTAAGCTCTTGGATCTTCTCTTGAGCTTGGGCATCGGCCTCTTTGGGGGCCTTCAGCAGCCCATCGTGTTTGGCATATAGCTTCTGGTAAGCAGCACAGTGCTCCATCAACTTCTCTTCAGCCTTCTCTGCTTTCTGATGGGCGGCTTTGGCCCCCTTCCGGCAGGCCACCATCATGCCCTCCACTCGGGCCGTCTCTTTGTCTTTGGATTTGACGAGCCGGGTGAACCATTCCGGGCTGATCCGGCCGACCTGCATTAGAGAGATGAAAATATGTCAGATAATGATTGCAAAAATATTTTAGAAAAAATATGAGAGAGATGGGGGGATTACCTCATTCAAGTCGGCGCAGAAAGCTTGGAAGAGCTCTTTATCCAATCGGGCCATCAAGGCCAGAGACCGGGGCTCACCATGCCCTTTGTCGACATCAGAGGACTAGGCAGACTAGTCTGCGGCCCGGGTCCTCCTTCTCTTCCTCTGAAGGGCCTCCCCGGCGGCTTCTTCATCGCCGCCAGCCTCCATCTGTTGCCCCCCCATACTGGCCTCTGAGGTGCGGCCGGTCTCCATCAACATGTTGTCGAACTACAGGGTATCTACGTTGATGTAGACTTCCCCGAAGTGAATAGCTGGCTGGTGCCATGCTGGGACTGAGCCGGCTGCTCAACCATCAGGAGCTGTTGATCGAAGGGTGGTTGGCGGGAGGGCTGAACGGCGAAAGTCCCCTCGACATCCACGATCTCGGGGATGGAGAACATGGAGTTAAACTTCACTACTGAAAGAACAACGAAACTGGTTAATAAAGGATAGTTGACAAAAGAATGAAAGCAAATTGAGAGGAAAAGTATGGAGGGACCTTTCTCCTTCTTCTTCCCCCGGCACGAGGAACCGGCGGCAGTTGACACCAGGGCTTTGAACCCTTGGACGTGGCGGAGGGGGATTGCGTCTGGGATCGCCTCTCCCCGGATAACCTCGGGTTCCGGGTCAGTCTCTGGACCCGGGTAGACACCCCACTTCCCGACGTTATAAGGACCGCGGGTGGAGGTGTCCCTGGTCTGGAGTGTGGCTTCCCAGGCGGCCAGGTCATCAGTCTCTCATGGCTTGACCTGGACTTTGAGTTTTTTCCCCAGGCATTTTGGGCAAAAGGAAAGTCGCCCGGGGGGAATTTGATAGAGACATATATATCCTTCCAACAGGGAGGAAGGCTGGAAAGAAAAGCCCGGCCCTAGTGAGAGGATACGATCACAAATCCAAGGGTTTCCGTGGACCCAGGCCGGACGTCGAACATGTGATCGAAAAGACGAAGGGAGAGAGGGATATGAAGAAAACGGCAGACATTAATAAAACTGCTCAACATACAGTGACCATTAAGGGCCAACTACCCGGGCATGATCCCTTATGTCTCGAGGAAGAGGAATTTGAAGGGGTGAATGGAGAATTCACCCAAGTCTTTAATGGAATGGTAGTGGATTCCAATCGTCGTACCGGTGTGGAGAGAAATAATATTCTTCCAGGTTGCCCGGTAGGACAATTGGTAACCATCATGCATAAGGTTGCGCAGCTCGTGGACTTGAGCTTTTTGCATGTAGGACGGCTGCTCCAAGAGCAACCGGTCATCCAGCAGGGTAAAGCCCTCGTCCACAGACAGGCAACCGTGATCACTTGTGCCGCGAGAGAAGAAGGGGCACAAGTGGAAGCGCCGACCGGCTTCTTCTGTGGAGAAGTAGCTGGGCGCTCAGAAAAAGACTGGGAACTGGAGGTCGAAGACCGGGCATCAGAACCATAAGAATGAATAGAAGGGTTCTGACTGTCCTCATGGTCAGACATGACTCAAAGAAATGAAGAGGGAAAAAGATACTTACTTGAAACTAGAAGACTCGGAGGACTAGAGAGACAGAAGTAGCAACCGGGCGGTTTTTTGGATAGCAAATTGAAAGTGGGAAAATTCGGTGGGGAACCTCGCTTTATATAGGGGAGGTGCCGCCCAGCCGGACCAATGGGGGAGCGGCACGTGGCAGCCAAAATGATTTGTAATGATAACTTCTCGGGGAGACGAAACGGTGCGACAAATCGGCGGCGCCGTACCGGATTCCAATAAAGATTCCCCCGAGTTTAACGCCCGGGATTTCGAAATTCAAAATTAATATATGTTTTTGGCGCCGGTTTACAAAGGCCATTTTCCTGCCAAAACCACCCGGGGATTTGAAATTTGAAAAGAAGCTTGCATATGCTTCTCGCCCCTAATGGTACCCACAGAGCTGGGAATCGGAGGACTCCTTGTTGGGTAATAACCCATGGATTCCACCCGGTAGGTTCATACCGACTGGGAGGTATCAAATCCGACGCCCTATGACCTGGTCGACCCGAGCAGTCTGACCGGTCAGGGGTGAGAAGATTCGGAATCACAGACATGGCTACATCTGACAAAGGCATGCAAACTGACCGATTGGGGACTGATCGGCCGGAAGAGCAGAGACATGCTTGACATGCTTAGTCATTATTATGAATAGGACTAAAAGCCTCATTTGTGAGGCATGCTTTAATTAACCTACACGACTTGTACTTTGTAAACAGTCCTACTATCATTAATAACAAACCGGGTTACAGGTGTTCCCACCTACATCCCTTCCGCTTATCTGTACTTTATATTTGCACGGTATTTACACCATCAATGTGTATATATTTTTATCATATGAAGTTATCGTTGAATATCATAAATCATGAAAACACAGAAAATAATTATCCCATAATAAATTATAGTTGATTTAATAAAAGTTTGACTTTAATCTAATTTAAAATTAAAGTATTGCGTAATTTGATTTTAAAAATTGGAAACGGATACGGATATATCCGATATCCGACTGAGATCCGACGGATGCAGATACGATTTTGATTTTCAGTATTCGTCAAGATCCGTATCCGAATTCGATATCTAACAAAAATAAACCTGCATATACGGATTTGGTAATGTCACATCTGATCCGATTAATATCCGTTTACACCCCTACTCGTTTGATAAAATCAAATAGTCATGTGACTTTTGTTCGTCGAGCTCTTGATATAGTTTTTTAATACTTCGTATGTAAAGGTTATTTTTAAATTTTTCTCTAATTTTCTAATAAATTTCATTGAAAATAGTTTTTGTTAAACATCGAAAACCGGAATATGTGATTTAAATTGTGACAGATAGAGTAGTAGTTGTACTATTTTCAATCAATTACTTCATCTGTCCGACTACATAGACACTATTTACAATGTCAAATTTTATTAACTATATTTACTCATATCATAATTTAAAATAGACAGGTCACTTCTCGTTTTGAGAATTTTTAACATAACTTTTAAATTTGTAAATTTTATCTTTAAATTTTAAATCTACAATCAAATAAATTATATTGAAAATAAAGTTTGTCAAATTTTTATTAACTGGAACAAGTAATTCATATTCAAATGGAGGGAATATTTAGTGTAAAAATATGAATTTTTATCATGGGTATATAGGATTTGATAGTAAATCTAAAAAGTCCAATTGTTTGGTATTCAAAAATCAAGACCAAACGAGGGCGAGCCAGTGACAACTTTTATTACGAGAGAGACAGAGCTTCGGTTGGGGCCAGCGTTTAGGGAATGAAGTTTGAGAATTGAGGAGCGCCAATACGGGATTCAAAGTTTTCCCTTTTCTCTTCTCTGTCCTCCTCCTCCTCCTCCTCCTCCTTCAGAGTTCAGATTCGAAATCCACAGCTTCCTCGTTGCGCCCAGAGATATGTGAATAAACCGATAAAATGAAGTGTCATGGAGAGGGAAGCTAACCGTCCAACCCCACCGGCAGCGACTGCTATCTCCATTCCAGTCCGTCCGATCAACCCCAATCCCCACACCACCAAACTCCACTGTTCTTCTAACTCCTCCCCGTCGGCCCCCGACTTTCTCCGAGAAGTTCAAGCCACCTTCAAGCGCCATAGACCCCTCGGTAACTCTCCCAAATCTTTTTACTGCATCCAATTGATTTTCAACTGAAACGAAATGCTTATTAGGCTTCTGGACAGTTAATTGGGGGTTTGGATTCTCTAATGTTGCTGTGCTGAGGAAGTTGTGCTTCTAGAGAGCCTATATTATACATCTATCAAATGTTCATTTTTTAATAATCAACTTAGTGTTCATTCTGAATTAACCCATTTCATTTTCACACATTTGTTCATTACAATTATAATATTCATTTACGAAAATGTAGTGTTTATTATGAAACAATGTAGTATTCATTTCAAGTCTGCTCAGCGTAGTGTTCATTCTCAAAGAACGTAGTTTTCATCCTGAAACAACGTAGTGTTCATTCTGAAATAACATAGTGTTTATATTGAATTTTTTTAAATTAAAAGTTTGCAATGATGTACGGTACATCCGTATGTACCATGTAGTTTGCCGTGCTTTTACCTGGTCTCTTTCTAGATTTTTGTTTTGAAGGAATTGGTAATTTGTTGATTGTGCTTCAAGTTTGTATCCAAATAGAGTAGATTTTCTAGAACATTAGCTTGCTGTATAAGCATTATATACAACCCGAGAGGGGGTAAACATTGTTTCTAAAAGAGAGAAGAGTAATTGGTCGACTTTTTTCTATTAATCAAATAACATGGTTTTTGAGTATTATTGAGCAACTGCATTGTAGTCTATTTATCAAGATTTTTGTTTGAATCATTTGTAAACAAAGGTTTTGGTTTGAAACTGCATCTAACTTTGAGGATCTTGTAGTAAACGTGCAATCAAATAATTTAAGACCAAGGAGGGAGCAGGTTCCTAGAAGGGAAGTTTCAAGAAGCTCAATCACAAGTGTAGGTTCTACATGTGATATGCAGAAGGGACATGTTGATATTTTGGTTAGTCACAACCTCCAGGGTTGCATTTCGCAAACCCAGAACACAGTCTCGGTTGTCCGAGAATCTCAAGAAGATGCATCCGTCACTCCACGTTCTGATTGGAATTCGACTCTGAGTACAAATGAACAAGATTTTAGACCATTGAATGCTCGGGGTGACCAAGTTGGATCGACTGAGGGGCATCAAAGCAATATTACATTTGAGTCTGCAGTTGTAAGCAATCCTGATGTTCCACTGGCTGAAGGGAAGAAGAAAGTACATTATGCCACAGATTACAATCCTAGATCTCAGGGTAACAACAAACTTCTTCAAACAGTAAATCCCATCTCATCAATGTATGATGAGCATATTATCTCCCAATGCATAACCACATTATATATTTGTTTGTTTTAGTATTTGGATTATTTATAATGCAAAAGAGGATTAGTTCAATTCCAGTTGTTACATGTATCAATACAATTCTCCATGTAGAGGCTGACGGCCACTCAAAAGAATGATTTCTTGTCTCATATGAATTCACTTGCATTGACAGGAATAGGATGGTTCATAAGTAACCAGTTGGAGGCCCCAACTGCTGCCATTCAGGTATCGACATATCAAAATGTTGCAAATCCAGAATGTAATTTAAGGTCTGAAACTGTGGTTTCTTTGCAAGATAAAGGAACAGAGGGTGGTCAGCCTCATCAATTTAGTAACTTTCTACAGAATGATTTTAGTCACCCAATTACTCAATCTTCGGGTATTGGCTCATCTTGCATCACAACATCGATTACTAACTCAGCCCCTATGCTTAGTTCAACATCCTATTTCTCTCAATCTCATCAGATGAGCAGTTCTCAATTAGCTGTGGACCGCGTAGCAAAGTCCAAGCTGAGTTGTGAAGAGGTTCCCCACAAGGATATAACGCAGCCCTTACATTTGTCATCTAAGAATGAAAATAAAGTATTAGCCGGTCAAGAACCCCTTACAGCTTCTGATTCTAGAGCCAAAACTGAACCGGAAGCTAAGATGCTTTACCAAAGTAAGGAGCAACACAGCATTGTACCTAAGTTGGGCGATACTTCCATTGATCCTTCCCCTTTTGATGGCAGTTCTGGAAAAGTAGATGCCTTAGATATTCAATCTGAGAATGCCTTGCCAAAAGTATCTTCATCAGGATTAAAAGAAGAACCTTCCAAGTTAGAGAAGCTAGAGAAAGGGACAAACAGCAAAGTCACATCTTCATCTCGACGAAAAACTCATGATTCTGATTTATATTTCAATGTTAACGGAAAGATTTACCAAAGGCTTGGTAAGATAGGTAGTGGCGGAAGTAGTGAAGTGCACAAAGTTATTTCATCAGACTGCAGAATATATGCCTTGAAACGAATCAAGCTTAAGGGACGAGATTATGCAACTGCATATGGGTTTTGCCAAGAAATTGAGTATTTAAAGAGATTCAAGGGAAACAACAACATTATTCAATTAGTTGACTTTGAGGTATGCACTGCATGTCAATGTTCATATAATGTGGTGCATTGGATTTCTAACATTGCATATTTATCTCCATAAAATGTTTTGTAAGTTTTTTTTCTTACATGAGGAGATATGTAAGGCCAATCTTATAGAGTAGACCGATATTATTGTTCAATACATTAGATACACTGGTATGGGTAAACTTATAATATTTAATGCTTAATATATTTAAAAATTAATTGATGACAATTAGTATGAATGTTATTAGAAAAGCATTAACCTTTTGCAATTAGAAACTCCATTTTTTTAAATGTAATTTTTTATTGTATATAATTTCTTTATATTATAAAGAAGCACAAGTAAAAAATTGAAGCTCATAGTATAAATTTGTGTTTGATATAATTCTTTAAATGTATATTTTTGTGGAACTTAGCTGCTTATAATTAGTTATGCAAGTATTGACAGGTTCCCAGCAGTTCCCCCCTGACTGGTTGGTACTTCTTTGATGTTGATAAATGCCTGTTTGTAGTGTTGTACTCCTATTTTTGTATTACGACAAGATAAATGTAGATCATTTATCTACCTCATATGGTTTCTTAGTTTCTCATATAGTTTCACAGTAGCAATGCAAAAGTTAAATGCTATCCAAAGGTCTAATTGGACCACTCTGCTCACTTGAACATGATAAACTTCACATATGATAAAGTGTACCATGCATTTGTATGTAACTTATGTAATGTAATTTGTGTCTCTCTCTTGTAAGTTTACTCAGCATGCATGCTGAGTTTCATAATTGTTTTCTACAATGTGAATGAGATGGGGTTGAACTCTTGGCCTTAGACCGAGGAGGCTCATCTTGAGCCACTACAGCCTAGGGTCACAGGCTATAATGTTTCATCATGAATGTACAATTCCATTAATTCATTTAGTGTACAAATACACTTTGAACTACTCATAATTTTCCTATCTACTATCAAAAGTATTCAACATGACCATCATCATCAGCACCTTAATCCCAACTATGTTTGGGTCTGTGGCGTGAAATTGATAGGTTCATTTAATTTTCAACATATTTATGTATTTAACACTATCATTCTTGCAAAAAGAATAGTGGCAAAGTTGTATGCAGGATTCCCTTCCTTCTCAACCTTCTAAATATAAAATATTGAGATGAAATTTTAAAACCATTTGGGGTAGAATTGGTTACTGAATTTGTGGAAGAATTGGCATGGTTGGATGAAATGTAACACTATTTATTACCAAAAGTACTACCGTATTACGTAAAGATATTTTTAACAAAAATATATTGATTATTGAATTTGAGGTAGAATTGGTGTAGTTCGATGCAAAGGTGGGCAATATGCCAATGAGAGAAATCCGATTTGATCTATACATGATCAAGATAGAAATCCGATTTTAACTATACATGATCAAGATAGAATCATAAAGTATCTAGTAAGCTTACCCTAGAGAAATTTTGGTACTATTGTGCGTGATTTTTGCACTTATGGTTTGACATAAATATCCTTGTTTGTGGGGTTTCACTGTTTAAGGTACTGATGCTAAGGCACCAGGTTTTGACTCCTGAATAGAAGACTTTCCATGGAACTCTCATTTGTATTCTCTACATTTGGTTCCATGTTGCCCGGTTTAGTGCTTTAGAGATCCTGATTATTTCCCCTTCTTTCTAGGTAACAGACAAGAACTTGCTTCAGGAAGTCATGAGTGGTTCTATGAGTAATAAGGAATGCAAGGTCAAAGAAGATGGCTTTATATACATGGTTCTTGAATATGGTGAAATTGATTTGGCTCACATGCTGTCTCAGAAATGGAAGGAGCTAGATGACTGTAATGCAACCATTGATGAAAATTGGCTTAGATTTTACTGGCAGGTTCTTTATCAACCATATTTACTACTCCCTTTTTACCGCATTGAAGGTCATATTTACTATTTTCTAGTTTATTTTAAGTTCAGTATATATGTATAAAGTAGGTGTTGCCGTACATACAGAATAAGTTATTCCTCCAAAGCCAACTTATTATTTCAACGAATAACCCTTATATATTCAAAAAGAATCCCAAACTTGAAAGGAAAGTAAGTTCTAGCTATGAGAACTTTTGTAAAATAAAGAGTTAAGTAAATATGATACAAATAGTTTTCCAAATTAAACTAGTAAAATGAATGGGAAGGCTTATAGGGTTTTGAAAATACACTGTTAAAACATGGGATTCACTTTTGGTATTGTGGGTTGTACTTTGGTCTCCTTGCGGCAGAGCCGGTACACACGACAACAGGTTCAAAGAACTTGTTCTCAAACTCAAATTTAGGAAATGGTACGAGAAATGATTTCAAGCTCTCTCATTTAGCTTCATCTTCCATATGTGCCGACCAGTGGATCAGAGTTCTTAGTGACCTTGGTTATGATGCACACAAGATGGACATAAGTTGAAGCACTGGCATTTTTAGCTCAATTGTGCCAGCGTGCCCATTGCAAATGGCACATGCCTTTGTACAAGCAGTACAGTTATAGAGGAGGGACATGGAAAATGTCACGACTCTTGCATATTGGAGGAAGTGCGAGCAGATATGCTATCTGGCCAATGCCGTCCGTAATAAAAAAAGGCTCAAAAATTTCAACCACTGTTTGTGAGGGTTGCGGACCAAATACAGTTTGCAGTGTGAGAGTCCTATTTAAACCTTGAAAATGGCTCCTACTCACACACATATAATCTAAACAATTATGTTACAACAACAATAACCCAATTGGGTCCTACAAAAGTAGGGTCTGGGAAGGGTGTGTGTATGCAGACCTTGCTCCTAGTCGAAAGTAGGGAGGAAATTATGTCACTACAACAAATATTGTAAACATATCTCTCCTAGTAATACACCTAAATTATTTGAACAGCACTTAAGAACCATTCCTATCACAATGTGTTGCAGGCCTCCAAAGAATGATTGAATTTGAGTGTTGAACCAAAACATCCTCACCATTTCTGCTTATAATTTGGGGTGAAATGATCAAATGATTTTGGTGCAAAAGTTAGTGTAATGTGGGTGGTTATATGCATTGTACCAAATTGTGGTCAGTTGTTTGAGATTGTAATTTTAGGTTAGTGTCCCGTCAAAATTTTAGGTTAGTGTCCCGTCAAAAGTTAGTGGTCAGGCGAGAGGGCCCCTTTTATGGCAAAAGGCAAGGCGAGAGGTGGGCGGCCAAAAGGCAAACTTGGGGCATACACACACATACATAAAATATATAGTGCAATTCAATTAACAATGTCAATCCCAAGCAAATCATACATGTTAAACAAAACAATTAGAGTAGTTACTGCACATGTTTCTCAAAGCCTAATCGTAATCATCATCACTCAAAGAGAAATCCATATTTTCCATCATCTTTGATGGAATAAAAGGTTCGAAATCATCCTGATATTCATCATCACTCTCCTCTCCTCACCAGTGAAGTAAGCTAAACATGTGAAGCATAAAAAATATGGTAAAACAGTAGGCAGCAGAAGAACTGCAAAAAGAATACGAGAGAAGAGAGAGAGAGCTGATGAGAGATGCTAGAGAGAGAGGAGACGAGACTTGAGTTGCCAATGAAACTAGGGAGACGAGGTAGAGTTGTGTCGATTGATTGGATTTTGGTAGGCGTAGTCACGCTAGGGTGTAAATGAGCCGCATTTAGATGCTAGCCTTTTCCTCAAAAAATGCCAACCCATTTTTTAAAAGGCCAGAGCAGAAGCCAGAACTATAGTAAGGCGTGAAAAGCGAATGCCTGAGGCGATGATTGAGGCGAGAGAAGCGAGCGACTTTGGCGAGAAAGGCGAACAACGCCTCGCTTAAGGCGGTAGAAGGTCGCTTGGGCGCCTGACACGAGGGAGGTGATCGCCTTTCAAAACTATGTGCCCCCTGCATGCTAGTAAACAGGCCTTTGTTTGATTTGTATTGTTGCAGCTCATCGGTGGTAAGTGGTAACATTCGATCCTGGTTTTAATTCCGTACTTTGTCATGTGCGGTAACATTTTGGAGATCGTTTTGTTTTTGTGTTGTTCTTTTGAGGTTTGGGGGGGGGGGGTGAGGGGGTGTTAAGGTCTCACTTGGTTCACTTTTAGTTATGTTTTGGTTTTGGAATTTGGAATGAGGATTGAAACTAGGGAGTTTTCATGCTACAAAGTACAAACCCATACTTGATACATATTGCTTGGTTGCGGGATGGCGGTCGTCATAGGTGGTAGATATAGCCAAAGAGTAATTGAACCTTAAAAACACAACTAGTCAATCCCATAAGTGGTGTTTGAAAGAGGTAAATGTGCGTAGAGCTTACCCCTACCTAATAGGGTAGAGAGGCGGTTTCCACAAGACCGCATCTTAGAAGACAAAACAAAAGCCTGTTACGGAATTCAGAGTGAGTAGTAGAGCAAATCAATAGAGCAAATCAATAGAGCAAAGCAGATGTAAGTTTACTCGGGTAAAAAACTCTAGACATATAGGAAAAGTAACAGTAAAATAAAACACATAGGGATGGAGGGACTGAAGGATTTAAATGACACACCTTGCTATATCAAATTGTACCTACAAACCGCCCTACACAGAAAGGAGTGCTTCTAACTAGGCTTACCTGCAACTCTAGTCCTCGACCTGGAAGCGGCCCTATCTAAAATCATGCCCTCTGCTGCAGAAGTCTCAAATCCTGCCTTATATGACCTCACTCTAATTCTTCATTAGTCTCCCTCTACTCCAATTTTGTACTTCCAACCTCTCGCACTGAAGCATTTGTACTTTTCCTCTCCGCATATCCAAACAACTTCAATATAGCTTCGCACATTGTATCCTCTATAAATGTCGCTGCTACCACATTTTAGATGTTATGTTGTCATTTAGGACCTTATTCTCCTTGTTTGTCTGCTCATCCACCTAGGCATTTTCCTCTCTATCTCCCTCATTTATGGACATGAGTGTTCTTTACTGGCCAATATTGACCCATACTTCAAAGGCATCTAACACCCTTTGATAAAATTTGCCTTTCAATTTCAATGGTACATTCCCTTCATACAAGGCACCTGACACAAGCCTTTCATCCAGCCCGGCCCAATACAATGGGGGGATCCCTATCAATCTCGAATTTGGATGAGAGATCCAACATGCCAAAAACAATCCCTTTTGTGGATGGGCTGAGATTCGATATGCATATTCACTTCTGACTCAGTTGGTACACTGCTAAAACTGCTCTCCATTTACTCTGTCAGTCTGTCCTAGTCTTGCTCAGTTTGAAACCTCAAGTCTCAAGGATTTTCCTTCAACTTTATTCTTTCATTAACTTCCTCACATGTTTTGCCATTTGAGACAATATCGTCTGCAAAAAGCATGCCCCAAGGAATCTCCGGATGTGCATGTCAATTCATTTTTTGCCACAGCAAATAGGTTGGTGGTGCAATTTGATGCCCCTATAGTTGCAATTCTAGATATCACCTTTATCCTTGTACAATGGTTAGACATTTTAGTCAATTTAAAAACAACACTAAAAAACTCTGCGAGCAGTCCTCCAAAACTCTATAGGATCTCATCATATCTGACTGTTCTTTCTATTTTCATTCCACTAATAGCGGCCTCCACTTCACCAAGGCTAAACCACATACAGTACCTTAATTCCTTATGACTCTTTTAGCACTCTTAATCACTCAACATGATATCGTGTCCCCTTTTGCAATTAACAGTTATTGGAGGCATGACTTTGGCTTCCAACAAAATAGTCTAACACTCACCGAAAGTGATGTGTAGGCCACTTTCTTGGCATAATCTTTGCTCGGGAAGTTGAGCCGTACTGTTCCACCGCCAGCCCCCTCTAGAGGTTGAACGCGTGGCGACCTCTAACAAGTAACACCTCCCTAGCAAAATCCCTGATGCAATTGGCGGGCCTAGACTACATGTGTCAGCATCTCAGCATGCTGCTCAAGTGTCCCGAGTAGGGTTGTAAATGAACCGAATCGAATCGAATATTCATGAAAAATATTCGTATTCGTTAAGATGAGGCAACCCTAGTCCCGAGCCACCCAAGCGTCTCAAGCTAATAACTGCTCAACCAATTATTTTTTTTGATGACTCAACCAATTATATAATTAAGTAAATAATTAAAATAATAATAGTCAAAACATGAACTTGGCCAATCCTATGGGGATGGGTATTTTTTTTAAAGTGTTGGTTGGTCAGTAATGTCTTTTGAAAAAAAGTGTGAACAAATGGGTTTCATGCAAATAGGTTGACCTATTTAAAAATCAAGAAAGACTGGTGTTTTTGTTGTTGCTTCATGTAACTGTCTAATATTATGGATTATTGCTAGGGGTGTAAACGGATATTAATCGGATCGGATGTGTCATTACCAAATCCGTATCCGTTTATTTTTGTCGGATATCGAATTCGGATACGGATCTTGACGGATACTAAAAATCAAAACTGTTTCCGCATCCCCGGTCAGATATCGGATATATCCGTATCCGTTTCCAATTTTTACAATCAAATCAAACAATACTTTAATTTTAAATTAGATTAAAGTCAAAATATTATTAAATCAACTATAATTTGTTATGAGATAATTATTTTCTTTGTTTCCATGATTTATGATATTCTACAATAACTTCATATGATAAAAAGATATACACAGCACACATATACACATATTTTTATATGTCTACACATATTTTTATGTGTCTACACATTTATTTTGTATATAAAAATGTTTTATACTTTGAAATATCAATAGAGAAACAAAATATAAATATAAAAAATTAGGAAAAACTCTAACGGATCGGATATTGGGATAAACGGTTATTTAAACGGATGCATATTCGGATCGGATTTTAAACGGATCGGATATAAAATTACCAAATCCGTATCCGTTTAGCAATCGGATATCCTTAATCGGATACGCATAATATTCGTTTAAAACGGATGCAGATATTTCCTCTTTAAACGGATACGGATGCGGACGGTAATCGGATTTTCGGTATCCGTTGACAGCCCTAATTATTGCTGATGGTCTGAAATGTTTTCATTTACTTTTATTTCATGTGCTACAGCAAATTCTTCTTGCTGTGAAAACCATACATGAAGAACGGATTGTGCACTCAGACCTAAAGCCAGCTAATTTCCTGCTTGTGAAAGGCTCACTGAAGTTGATAGATTTTGGCATTGCCAAGGCTATACTGAACGACACCACAAACATTCAGAGGGATGGACAGGTCATTCATTTCACAGCTTACTCTTTTTTTTCCGTTGTTGCTGAAGGATAAATAAGCTTTGGTCCTCCCTCCAATCGATCAATTATATGATATATACATTATTTGTAACTGCTCACCTTATATTTTCTTGGTAATAAACATGTGCAGGTGGGCACTCTAAGTTACATGTCTCCGGAAGCATTTTTGTGCAACGAGACAGACGCAAACGGAAACATCATAAAATGTGGTCGTCCATCAGACATCTGGTCACTTGGTTGCATCCTTTACCAAATGGTTTATGGCCGGACACCATTTTCAGAACACAGAACCTTCTGGGCTAAGTTTAAAGTTATTACAGATGCCAACCATGAAATAACATACGAACCAGTTTCCAATCCATGGCTCCTTGACCTTATGAAGAACTGTCTTACATGGGACCGAAATAAAAGATGGAGGATTCCCCAGCTGCTCCAACACCCTTTCTTAGTTCCTCCCATCCCAACCCAACCGCCTTCACCTTCTTCCCCACAAGATCAGAGTTGTAAATTGCTTCAGCTTCTCTTAAATGCATGTCAACATGATCAAAATGCACTGATGCTTTGTTCACAACTCCAGCAATTGCTAGCTGACCCTCAACCTTCACAGCAATTAGAATTGCCCGTGTCGTCATCTACAAGTCGAGAGTGCGAGTTGCTGAACGAATTATCGAAACTGTGTATCAGACTACGAGGGCATTTGGCAATGTTGGGAGGCACATAAAGTTGGCGATGTAGATAGATTAAGTTTGTTCTTGGTTTCATCATTTTGGGCTGTTCCACCGTGCTTCTTCTGTTTCTACATATTCTGGTTTATGGTATTGTCTAGCTACAAATGCTGCTGCGTTGCATATTATTTTTTTAAAAAAAGATATAACCCCACCGTGATGGAAATCACTGCTGGTTGAACGGTTTAACCCGACGGTTTAACCCGCTCTCTGTTGTGAAATTAAAAAAAAACACTACCTCTATCATGTATATTTGGATTATGCTATGTGTACCCCAAGGTTTGTACCCCAATTTGTACCCCGCGTGTTGGTGTAAAACTAATTTTTGTTAAACGCACCAACATTTGTGTCCGTGTGAATATTTATTAACGCACCAACACTTGTGTCGGTGTAAACCATCGAAATGTTTGTGCAAGCCTGTGGTGTACAAATGGGGTATATTTTTTGGTGTAAGTGTAGCATGGTCCTGTATATTTATCATTCAAAGGTGTACTCCTTTGTCCCATTTTACTTGTCCCTTCTGTACGCATAACTGTACTTATGTGGTTAGAATAATTATTTATGTACGAAGTTACAATTTTTCATTCCATGCAAAAACTAGTTCTTTCAGTCTTCTAAATCTATCAGATAGTTTTCATAGAGGTAAAACGTTAAGGCTCCGTTTGGAAACTAAGAAGGTGACTTATGGAAAGCGACTTTTGGAAAATGAGTTATTTTTTAGAAGTAAATTTTTTTCCCGAGTGTTTGGTAAAAAAAATCTCAAAACTGTCTACACTTCGTTTTATTGCTGGAAAATAGTACTCGTCAGGCAACACCATTGTGAGTAGAGAGGAAGTTACAATTCAAGAAGAAATACTCCAGTACTGCATATCCATAGCCATCAAACTTGAAAGATACATGTCTTATTCATCAAAATCACCCCCAAAAAAAATCTTAATCAATAAAACAAAAAAAAACTCAGAGGAGGTTGCGAAGAATTGGAAGAGGACAACAGCGTATTGGATGGTTGCGATGGGGATGATGGATTGTAATGGTGGCAAAGGGGACAATAGACGAAGAGAGTGAAGGAAGTACCGAAGATGAAAGAGAAGGAAATTGTCTTTCGAGTTTGATGGCTTGGAATTTACTGGCTGATGCGCAATATGTTCTTTTTACGATTCGGCCCATGAATTGAGAAAGAAAAATGACAAAACAACAAACGGGGGAAACATTCGAACACAGGTTTCACCGGCGAGGCAAACAACTCCATGTCCATGTGCGCTCCTATACTTTCGTCGAAATTTAGTGCGACTATTTGTATATACTAATAAAAACCTCCCCCTCTCTTCTTCTTGAGGTTGGTTCTTCTCATTTTTTTCTCATCTCTCCAATTTCAAATTTTTTCCTTCTTCTCATCAATTATATTTCGAACTTAAGAACACATCTTCAATTTTTGTAAGATTTTTATGATTGTAATAAATATTTATTTGTTTAAGCTCCAAACTATGAACTTCAAATCTCATTGGGGTTAGAAGTTGATGTAATTAATTGTCCATCTTAATGTTTTAAATACTTTTAACAAGGATTGTTGATTTTATTTTTATTTAGATGTTGTATTTAAAAAATAAATAAATCTTGAATGCTTGTGATTATTAATGGCCCGATCATAAACGTAATTGTTAAAAATAATTTGAGCTAAAATTGATATAATTATAAAATAGAACACTTTTTAAATACACCGTAAGTCATCTCTACCTTTAACTCGGATTGAAGATTTTCGGGTAGACATAATTATTAAGTTGTATCTTTACACCATTAAATTGGGTAATATACAATAAAATAATTATGGTTGCCGTTGTGACTAATAATTTACTCCGGATTTATCATTAACGTGTTAAAGTCGAAATAGTTATTAATTAGGTGAACTGCGAGAACATCCCTAAATACTTTTCTGCAACTCCACACATTCTATATAAAAATAAATTGACAATCCAATTTTTATAAAAACATTGGACAATTAATTTTCCAATTTCTACCCCTAACTTTTCATCATAAAAAACTTTATGTTTGATGGTGTAAATTACCTGACCGGGTAAACTCTACTAGACCGGGTCTAGAATCGTTTACTTGATTCGATAAAGTAAGAAAGGTAAAACATGCAAAGTGACCGGGAGGACTTTAGGTGAAACACCTGTAGCCCAATTTATATTATAACAGAGAATGCACGGGCACTTTTACAAGGGAGTGTACTCTCTTACTTTAGCCTAGGGGAAGAAGCTCCCAATGTTGTCCATATATATGACTCGACATCCCCTGTCTTGCTACACGTGGGTGCAAGTCCGTGCAAGAGCCCCCCACCCCTCCACTACCGGAAGCAGGAAAACGTGCTTTGTCACCTAGCGAGGAAGATTACTTCCCTTGTCGCGTACTGGCTTGGACAGATTCCCTCAGCATCTCCCTTGATCTTCCAGCGATACTAGTCACTACAGTCCAAGTTCCTTTGGATTCTTCTTGCCGACACCTTCTAACCCTCGGAAACTGTACCGGGTAGCTCTTGAGGGCTGAATTAACTGACTTTGGGGGATGAACCAAACGTTGGCGTAGTTTGACCGGTATAATATCCGAAGTATACCGGTCAACTTTTTTGGTCAACCCTCTATCCTTCTATTGACGATTCGGGTCCTTTCAGAAATAACTCGTTTGACCAGTCAAATATCTCGGCATACCTTTTGACCGGTTCTGGGTGGATTACACCGATCAATAAGCCCTCTACTTCTCGGTCATGTAAAATATCATGGACGGGAAGTAAAAATCCGAGAAATGGGTTCAAAATTTGAATTTTTATCCCTTCGCGCTCGAAATTTTTGAATTCAAAATTCAAAAGGTATCAGTTTTGACACGTGTGGCCTGCTGGACGAAGCCATCATTGCGCCCATTCCTATTCCCATGCAGCATTATTGCGCCGCCTTACGCAGCGTGCCCTGGTCGTGCCACGTCGCCCTTTTTCAATCCTTCCTAGCCTATATAAAGACCCCCAACCCCATTCATTTCTACACTTCTCCTCGCGCGTCCCCTGAGTTTCCCCGGTCAAGCTCTTCTTTCCTGCCTCCCAGCCCTCCAAGCCAAGTAAGCTCCCTTCTTTCTTCATTAGCTTTTTCTTTTATTATCCGCTTCTCTTTCTGGTCAATGTCTTCCTCCGATAGCCAGGACATTTCCGCCTCAGATGCCTACGCATCCGAGGAATCACCCTCTTCTTCTTCCTCCACTGGGTCATCTTCACCCGATCTTGAACCCCGGTCGGTTCCTAACACAACCGTCCCTGAACCGCAGCCGATTAACCAAATGCCCGATCAGGTTTTTCAGGAGAGGGATGAACCGGTCGAAGACGAGCCGGCTCCCTATGACCCTGATAATGAGTCGTATGAGGAGTGGGAGGACCGGCTGGAAGCAGCCGGTTATTTCCCTCTCCCTATCAGTTACCCCTCAGACATTTACCCCCGGGTTTCTAAAATTGCCCAAAATAAAGCTCGTCGGAATCTCCCGGAGGGGTATATTCTTGAGTATGACCCCAACTGGCGCAACATTAACGAGCCTCACCAGGATGATAGGGTAGGTTTCCATATCACTTCTTTGGAGAGTGGAACCGTCTTCCCCCTTCGTCCCCTCCTGGTAGAGTTGTGTCATTGCTTCAAGATCCTCCCCGGGCAGATTACGCCCAATGCCCACCGTTTTCTTAATGCATTCGTAAATATCTACATTCACTTTAAAATCGACCCCTCTCTCCGCCTGTTTCTTTATTTGTTCAAAGTCCTCCCCGGTAAGTCGGGTTGTGACGGTTACGTTTATTTCAAAGGCCGTAATGGTCGCCAATTTATCTCGAACCTTCCACAAAGCAACCGACAGTGGAAGGAAAAAAAATTTTTCATAAAATTTCCCACCGTTTCCCCTCTAGCCGGCATAAACTGGAGTGACCACATCCTGAAGCCGTAATATACCTAGCCGGCCACAGCCCCAAACTTGGAAGAGAGTTTGGAAAAGCTACTTCAGGGGGACCCATTTACCGGGCAGATGTTCCACTATGGAGCCTGGATCTGGAGGGTACTGCCGGGTGGTAAGGGTAACCCTCGAGCCCATGAGGCAGCGGGGCATGGGGTACCCTCCCCGGGCAACACTGCTGAGGCCGGGGGCCCAAGCCGCCTAGGTACCTTCCATCCCTTCTTCTTCCTTTGCTTCTACTGATCATAGTTCCAATACTTACACGTTTTTACTTGTCTATGTAGATATGAATTTCAGGTCTTTCAACATCCCCAAGAAGACTGGTGCATCTTCTTCTGCTGTTCTCACACCTCTGCTCCGAAAACCATACCGGTCCAGAAGGAAACTGTTGAGATTCATTCTGAGGAGGAAACTCCTCAGACCGGGGGAGCTGCTCAAGTCGGGAACGCCCCGGTGAACCCTCCCCTTAACAAGGGAAAGGGGAAGATGAGGATAAAGAAGACCGCCACCACCCATCCAGCGGCGAAGAGGAGAAGAGGGGGAAAACGCCCCGGTTGCAGAGTTGATGGAAGAGCTTTGGGTCAAGATGACTCTCAAGCTGAAAGAGGTAATATTCGCCCGGTGTTTCTTTTGAATTTGCTACCTGTCGCTTGTACTAACCGGTATACGTTTGTTTCGTAGATGGGCGAGGTAGGGCATGACGCTTTGGAGCAGCTCGTCGAAGATTCTACCTCCCGGTCAGCTCAGTTGGAGGAGAAGCTGAAGAGGGTTGAAGCTCATAACCGGGAGCTTCAGGACTTGACAGCCTGCCAGCTCGAGGAGATGGCGGGCCTCTCAAGGGTGGCTGGGAAGGTAAACGCGGAGATCCTCCAACTGAAGGAGGAGAACTCGACGCTGATGGGGGAAGTCTCCCAACTAAAGGAGGAGGCGTGGCTGAAGGAGCAGGAGCTGCCCGGTCGGGCCAAGCAGTGGATGGAGGAGAATCTGGTAGAAGCTGCCCGGGTGCTTACTTCCTCTGAAGAGAGGACCATGGAGGGCTTCAAGCTACTGTACCGGGAGGAGCAAGGAAAAGAGATGATCACCCAGATCGGCTCCTATGGCTTCATGTCCGGGCAGAAAAGAGATCGGGAAGCCACGCACTCAATCCTAGCTAACCGGGATCCGGCCTTCTCTGCTGAAGCTTATGGCCTGGCCCCCATTCCCGAGGAAGAACCAACTCCCCCTTTTGTAGAATTTGCGAAGATGATGAGAATTCCAAGTTCTTTCTACAGGTACACCATCTAGAGTTTCTAACCGGTAGGTTACCGGGTGAATGATGGCTCTAACCCGGTATGGGCCTTCCTAGTTCTTTGCCAGCTTACCCCCATCACCCGGGCTACTATCCTCTCTTCTTCGCAGGACTTCATAGCCCACTTGGAAGTAACGCGGCCCAACCTTGTTGTCGTGGTACTTCTTCACAACTTGTTGGTACGTACTCATTTCCACTTCCGCAGCCATCCTTCGTTCCTCGACCAAGTTGAGTTCGGCTAGGTGGTCTTCTTCGTTTTGCCGGGGTTGATAATTTGATTCTCGGAATGTTGGGAATTCAACTTCGATGGGTAGTCTTGCTGCACACCCATAGGTTAGGGAGAATGGAGTTTCCCCATGAGCCCTCCTGGGTGTTACTCGAAACGCCAATATGATGTGCGGAAGCTCTTCCAACCACTTATTTCCTGCTTCTCCCAGCCGCTTCTTCAAGCCATCTACAATTGTTCGGTTGGCGTTTTCCACTTGGCCATTTCCTTGGGGGTATGTCACCGAAGAACGATTGTGTTTAATTCCGAAGCCCTCCAAGTATTCAGTGAATCTCGGATTCCGGAATTGTGGACCGATGTCGGTGATGAGATTCATGGGAGCGCCGAATCTTGTGCTGACGTTCTTCCAAATGAATTTCTTGCATTGTTGCGTGGTTATATTGGCCAATGTTTCGGCCTCGATCCATTTGGTGAAGTAATCGATGCCCACGATCACAAATTTCTTCCTTCCTTGAGCGATCGGGAATGCTCCGATGATATCAACCCTGAATCTAGCAAATGGGATGACATTTGATACGGGGTGATAGTAGGTTGCCGGTCTGCCGGGGTGTTTGTAGAATACCTGGCACGTTCTGCATTTCTAAACGTACCTCTCACAGACCTGGACAATTGTTGGCCAGTAATACCCCAACAAGATGATGTGCTGGGAAAGGGTACAGGACATTTGATGCGTCGCACACACGCCTTCATGGACTTCGGCTATAACTCGTTCCGCCTTCCGGTTGGTTAGACACCTCAGGAGGGGTCCCCCGAACGCCCTCTTGTATAGTTTCCCATTAAGGACTTGGAACCGGGGTGCCCTGAGCTTCACTTTCCTTGCCCGGTCATCTTGTTCTGGCAAGCTCCCATCCATCAAATATTCCATTTGATCGAACATCCAATGGTCGTCTGCCCCGACCAGGTTTGACCGGTCAGATTGGCCTGCTGCTATAGCGGCAACTTCCAATTTCTCGATGCGGGCTCGATCAGGGATTTCCACCCGGGAAAGTTTTGAAACATGCTCGGGAGCATACTGCGTCAATTTGGAAAGAATGTCGGCATCAGCATTTTACGCCCGGGGAATTTGAACGATTTTGAATTCCTCAAAGTTCTTCAACATGGCAAGCACTAGGCCCTTGTATTGCGCCATTCGTCCTTCTCTTGCTTCCATATTGCCAGTCACTTGCCAACAATCAGACTAGATTCAGATTTGATGCTGACCTGGCTGATTTTCAGGGCTTGGGCAAGTCTGAGCCATCCAGCTAGAGCTCCATACTCTGCCTCATTGTTCGTCAGCTTGAAGTTGAAGACAAGTGCATGGTAAATCTTGAACCCTTCTGGGGTGGTAAACACTATACCACCCCCATACCCTTTAGGACCGGATGCCCCGTCTACTGCCATCTCCCACCATTGCTCAGTGGGCTTGTTGATCGGTAGCTCTAGAGCTAGACCGGTCATTTCTACCAGGAAATCCGCAAGGGCTTGTCCCTTGATTGCTGACCTTGGCCGGTACTCTATGTTGAATTGGGTTAACATCATTGCCCATTTAACCATCCTCCCGGAGGATGTTGAATTTTCGCAACACTGCACCCAGTGGTTGGTCAGTCAAGACTTCCACCGGGTGAGCTTGAAAGTAGGATGTTAACTTCTTGGCGGAGATGAAAAGAGCATACACAGTCTTTTCCATCTCCGTATATCTACTTTCTGCCCCGTTTAATGCTTTGCTCACATAATAAATGGGCTTTTGTGCCCCATCATCTCTTATTAAAACGGAGCTTACAGCATTTGGGGAAATCCCTATGTATAGATACAAAGTTTCACCCGGTTCGGGTTTTGACAATACAATGTCTAACACTAGGTACTCTTTCAGCTCCTTGAATGCCTTCTGGCAGTCTTCGTCCCATGCAAATGTGTTGGCCTTCTTTAGGACTTTGAAAAAGGGCAGGGATCTCTCAGCTGACCGGGAAAGGAACCGGCTGAGGGCCACTAGACGACCGGTCAACTTTTGAACATCCCTAACTGAGGTAGGGGCTTGCATTTCAGTGATAGCCCGGATTTTTTCTAGGTTGGGCTCTATTCCTCTCTTGGTCACCATGAATACCAAGAACTTCCCGGTGCGAACCGCGAAGACGCATTTCTTGGGATTCAATCGGAGGTTGTATCTTGACATGATATCAAACGTTGCACGCATGTCATCCGGGTGGTTGAGAGATACCTGGCTTTTTATCAGCATGTCATCGACATATGCCTCCATGGTCTTTCCGAGTAGCGGCTTGAAGAGTTTGTTCACCATGCGCTGGTAAGTTGCTCCTGAGTTCTTCAAGCCAAACGTCATCACCCGGTAGCAGTAGGTTCCTTCGGGTGTGAGGAATGACGTCTTCTCTTCATCCTCCTTGGCCATGTAAATTTGGTGGTAACCTTTGAAGGCATCCATGAAACTTAGGAGTTCGCAACCCCGCAGTTTCGTCCACCATTTGATCTGGACTGGGAAGGGGGTATGAATCCATCGGACAAGCCTTGTTCAAGTCCGTGTAGTCCACACACATTCTCCATGTGTCACCCTTAGGAGCAAGGACTACGTTGGCCAGCCAATCCGGATATTTGACTTCCCGGATATGACCAACACTGAGGAGGTCCTTGACCTCCTTCCGGACGAAGTCTCGCCGGTCACTGGCTAGGTACCTCTTCTTCTGGCGTACCGGTTGACTTCCATCCCTCACCGCCAACCGATGGCAGATGATTGAGCGGTCAATTCCAGGCATATCTGCCACGCTCCACGCAAATATGCCCGCGTACTCTTGGAGGACACGTGTAATCTCCGCCTTGAGATCTTCTGGGAGATTTGCTCCAATTCTGACCATCCTTGAAGAATCACCCGGGTGAAGCTCGATCTCCACCGTCTCGGCCTCGGACTCAAGTTTCTCCCAGGTTTCTCCCTTTGTGACTTCTTGGGAGATGACATTGACCCCCTTAGTCATCTTCTTGACTGCCCGGGCATAGCACTCCCGAGCATTCCTCTAGTCGCCTTTCACCTCACCCACGCCACCTGAAGTGTGGAACTTCATGCATAGGTGAGGCATGGAAATTACCGCTCCGACTTTATTAATGCCTGGCCTTCCAAAGATTGCGTTGTGGACGCATTTGATATCCACAACGATGAACCGCATCTTCTTCCATACGGTTTTTTCACCCGATCCTAGTTCGACCGGTAGAACTATGGACCCTTCAGCTTCCACTGTATCTCCCGTGAAACCTGAGAGAGGAGTCTTTAGGGGTTCAAGTTGTGTCCGACACAACCTGAGTTTTTGGAAGGTCTCCAAGTACAGGATGTTGACACTGCTGCCGGTGTCAACAAGTACTCAGGCGACATCCACCCCATTAATATCCATGGCAATAACCAAAGGATCATTATGATCTTCACCGGTAGGGGGGAGGTCCCAGTCAGTAAAGACGATCGGTTCCCTCCTGGTATGCTTACGCCTGGCCGGTTCAGCGCTTACCTCACCAACGTAAATGCTGTGGACCCAATTCTTCCGTTGCGTGTCTGAATCCCCACCTTCAGGTCCGCCGAAGATCATCCCAATATGCTCTTTTTCAGGAGCAAGTTGCTGCTCCCTTTGCCGGTTAATCCTCCGTCGGTCAGTATCCCGGTCATTTCCATGGGTCGCTGGCCTAACCCATTGGTGGCTCTTCTCCTGGGCTTTTTGCAAATAGTTTTTGCCCAGCTCTCCACTGTCTATCATTTTCCGGATGCCTCCCTTAACACTCTTGCATTTGGGAGTGTTATGGGAATCTGACCTATGGTATGAACAATAGGTGCCCGACCATTGCCGTCCTGTTTGACCGGTAGGGTTTTCCGGAGGACTGACCGGTGCTTTCTTGATCTCTCGGCATTCTTCTGTATTGACCACTCGGATGACCGGGTCATAGTGATGCCTTGGCCGGCTAGGTCCCGATGCTTCTTCCTTCTTGATCTGCACTGGTTTGGGCTTGAATCCGTGTTCAGCCTCTTTCTTCGCCCAGAGTTGGGTTTCAGCCTCAGCAAACTCTCATGCAGTGTGATAGGCCCCTTGATAAGTGGCCGGGGGTTTTCGGCAGAACTCCTTGTATAGTTCCCCGGCTCGTAAGCCGTTCAGGAGGAGGGACAACACCATCTTGTCGTCCATCTCTTCTACCTTGTCAACCTCTTCTTTCCACCGGGTAAGGAATTGAGTGAGGTTCTCAGATTCCCTCTGCCCGGCTGTACTAAGATAGGTGAATTTCTTCCTCTTAGTACAATTCTTCTGGAACTTGGCCTTGAATTTTGAGGCCAAGTCGCTGAATGAATCAATGCTTCCTGGGCGAAGCTTGTTGAACCATTCAGTAGCTCGGTTTCGCAGGGTCTGGAAGAAAAGAAGGCACTTTTCTTCATCAGTGCAACCGTTCATGGTTGCACTTTGATTGAAAGAATCCAGATAGATTTCTGGATCTTCCTTCCCGGTGAATCTCGGAGCGTCTATCTTGACCTTTCGTGGGAAAGGTGTCAGATGGACCCTTGTGGTGAACGGGGATCCGGCGAGGGGTTTGTCCCGGTTATTCTTTTCTCCAACCTTCTTCTCCAACCTCTCCAATTTTGCCTCCATCTGCTGGACACGATCATTTGGGAGGCCCGTCAGCCGGTTAGCCACCGGTCTTCTAGGTTGGCTCTCTGCTTCCTCTTCTTGACAGGAGGCCCTCGTCCTCGCGGGCTCTTGCCGGTTAGACCGGGATCGCTGGGTACGGGCAGGCTCGGCCTCCCTCCCCTCGCCTAACCGGGCGAACGCGCTGATATGGGCAACGCTCTGCCCCAATCTCAGCTAGGCCGACTTCATCTGACCTTCTTCCCTATCCCCAAGCCTTTCAAAGGCTGAGTTTTGGGAAGTGGCTGGTCAGATGGCTTTTCCTTTCTTCTTTTTGGGCTCTAGGGACGTCCTACTCTTCATCACCACTCTCCACAGAGATGCAATGACCCTCTGCAGTTGTTTGGGGATGGGCGCTCAGTGGAGGGCGCGATGGACCGACGGCGTTTAGTGCACCGGTTAAATTGATGAGGGCCACATCACTGACCACCTCTGGCTGGAAAGGTGAAGGCTATGGTACCGGCGTCTGAAATGGCGACATCGCCATCGGAGTTTACAGGGGCATTGTTCCAGCGCCTGGAAGAGTGAATGGAAACATACCAGGGAGGAATTGCATCCCCCCATTCTGTTGGCACATAGCCATGACCTGACCAAAGCCTTGAATGGCTTGTAGGTTGGCCGGGTCATTCATGAACTGGGTCATACTTGGTGGGAAGGTAACCCTTGGTCCAGCAGAAGGGACAGGGATGGTGAACGGGGTGACCACGCTTGGTTTTGGAATTGAACTCAGGCCCAATGGCAGCGTGGGAGCAGAAACAGCCGGTTGGCTAGCAACCATGGGGATGCTGACCCCCTCAGTGGTGGCTTGCACCTGAGCAGAAGTAGCGTTCATTTGCTGGCTTGAAGACATTTTGAGTGGTGTTTTTGTGGGTAGGTTTGTGCTTGGATGAAAAGAAACCTTAACGGTCCCACGGTCGGCGCCAAAAATGATGGTGTAAATTACCTGATCGGGTAAACTCTACTAGACCGGGTCTAGAATCGTTTACTTGATTCGATAAAGTAAGAAAGGTAAAACACGCAAAGTGACCGGGAGGACTTTAGGTGGAACACCTGTAGCCCAATTTATATTATAACAGAGAATGCACGGGCACTTTTACAAGGGAGTGTACTCTCTTACTTTAGCCTAGGGGAAGAAGCTCCCAATGTTGTCCATATATATGACTCGACATCCCCTGTCTTGCTACACGTGGGTGCAAGTCCGTGCAAGAGCCCCCCACCCCTCCACTACCGGAAGCAGGAAAACGTGCTTTGTCACCTAGCGAGGAAGATTACTTCCCTTGTCGCGTACTGGCTTGGACAGATTCCCTGAGCATCTCCCTTGATCTTCCAGCGATACCAGTCACTACAGTCCAAGTTTCTTTGGATTCTTCTTGCCGACACCTTCTAACCCTCGGAAACTGTACCGGGTAGCTCTTGAGGGCTGAATTAACTGGCTTTGGGGGATGAACTAGACGTTGGCGTAGTTTGACCGGTATAATATCCGAAGTATACCGGTCAACTTTTTTGGTCAACCCTCTATCCTTCTATTGACGATTCGGGTCCTTTCAGAAACAACTCGTTTGACCAGTCAAATATCCGGGCATACCCTTTGACCGGTTCTGGGTGGATTACACCCATCAATGTTCTTTGGAACACTCTCTATTTTACACTTTTATTTTATTTTATCTCTAAAATCAAAAAGACCAAAAATATTTTACAACTTCTTTTATAAATTTTTGTTTAAATTAGATTAACTCACGTTTCCCTGAGGTTCGATACCCTATTTACAAGGGTTGATTTAGTTAATATTTTTGCCCGTTCAAAAACGCAAATCATTCATTGTAGATTATTGACAAAGAATGAAGCATGTACTTGAAACTTAGGTCTTACCCTTGACACTTCTTGCCTTTGCTAGCTAAGCAATTTCACATGCTCTCGGAGCAGCTACAACGGGGGAACAAAACCCGCCGCACCACTACACAATCCACGCCCGCCGCACCGTTACACCATCATTGCAAGAAGAGGGGCAGAGAAAGCGTCGTGGTGCTTTCCGCACTTGCGGCACCTAGCCAATCGCGAAACCCGATGATTTTGGACAGGCCGCCGTCAATTGTGACGGTAAGCCGCACCCGACTAATAATTTTTTCACAACACACCTTCAAGTTCAATCCATCTATTCTCATCTCTAGTCATCCACTCATCCCTGGCTTCTCTGCTCAAACATGGGTCCGCAACCTATATATTGTGGGTCCAAGATAGAGTGTTCTGCGGTTGCGATTTGGGATTCTCTCCTCCTGCAGCCGCCGCCTGCACGTCATTTAAACTCTTGCTTGTCTCCCCCATCGCAGGATTCGCAGCGTTTAAATAAAAGTCCCATGACTCCCGTTATAAATTCCCTTCAATTCAGTCGGCTGATTCAACATTTGACCTTAGCCCCCATTTTGAATCTACATGAACTGGATTTCGTCTTGAAGACGAGAGCAGATTTCTCCATTATTCATGCAAGTGGAAAGACCCTCGTACGTAATTATGATGATCAATTCTCTGGGAGGAGTTTTTAATTTTGAATAGCTTTCTTCTCTTTAATTGATTTGATTTTCTTCCTTGCTTGCAGATCCTTGAATTGATCCTCAGATTTACTTAGCTTTTTTTTTTGCCCTGAACGAGCTATCCAACCCTTCTCTCAGTAGTGAGCCTTTCTGGTAATTAAATCTTTATATTTATATGTATCTGCTTTCCATCATCTTCTTTGCCCCTTTCATAATTTATTACTGTCCATTTCTCTTTAATGGGTACAACAAAAGAAGCCTATGGTTCAGTTTTTGAAGTAATTTCTTTGTGAACAAGTTTGGTTTATCTGCACCCTCTTACCATTAGCAACACTGGTTTTGCAAAAGCGGTATCCAAGATCCTTTGTTTTAAAAACTATTCCAAATTTCTTCTAAGAAAAGAAATTGTGATTCATATTCTCTCTCTCTTTTAAATAAAACTCAACTTTATTATTTTCATTTTATTAATCTCCTTATCCAAACAAACTTATATTGTTTTGTGGCATAAGTAATTTACCATCATATTGTACTATACTAGATTCCGTCTACGCTCTACACTAATACACTACCAACCCACTGTACACTAATCTTGCTGCATTAATATTGTGCATATTGCATGCCCTGTCCTTCAAAACTTTGCCAACTTTGTGTAATTGATAATCAAAAGTTTTCTTAATTACACATAATTACATAATACAAGTGACTGCATTTACACAAGAAGGGTGCTACTATAAGGAAACTAAATCACCTCTAGTAATGCCTAAATCAAAGCCTACCGTATTCTCAAGACTTAACTAATATACTAAGTGACAATCTACTTCGATATGCTTTGTCCTTTCATGAAAAACTTGTTTGGATGTTATATGAAGAGCACCTTGATTATCACACTATAGTTTCATAGGGATGAGAGCTTTGAAACTAGTTTCATTTGGGAGGTGATATATCCATATAATTTCAAAAGCAACTTGTGCCATTGCTCTATTTCAGACTCATAACTAGAACGAGAGACAACATTCTGCTTCTTGCTCTTCCATGAAATCAGATTCCCACCCACAAATAAACAACCCGGAGGTGGACCTATGTTCATATCTTGACCCTGCATAATCTGCATCTGCATAACTTTCAACATTCATGTGACCATGATTTGAACAGGCAGTACCACAACCACGAGTTCCGTTCAACTCACATAGAGCATGTTCCACGGCGACCCAATGATCAATTACTGTGGATTCCATGAACTGACTTACCACACTAACAGGATAAGCATTATTTTGGCTGGTCACAACTACGTAGTTCATTTTACCCACTAATCGCTTGTATAGTTGTATCTCTAAATAAATGATTCACCATCATTTGTTGATTGCATATTAAGAACCATAGGCATATTACATGGTTTGGCTGCAAACTTTCCAGTCTTAGACAACTAATCAAGCACCTACTTCCTCTGGGTGAGCAATATCCTTTTTCTGGAACTGACTATGGACAAATGTCTTGAGTGATGAAGTACCTACAAGATCACTTCCTATAATAATGATGTCATCTACATAAACATCCAATAAGATGATTCCATGACTAGAATAAAAGAGAGAATGATCAGATTTTCCTTTCACCATTCCAAACTGCTCAATTAAATGGATCAATTTTCCATATCATGGATGCAGACTTTTGTTTTAGTCTGTACAAAGACTAATGTAGCTGACATTCTCATTCTCCCCCTAAGCTACAAACTCCGGAGGTTGCTCCATATGAACCTCTTCCTCAAGAGGACCATGAATAAAAGCATTCTTGATATATAATTGATTCAGTGGCTAGTTATGGCACGCAGCCATATCGATGACAAAGCGAACAGAAGTGAGCTTTGCCACTGGAGAGAATGTCTCATCATAATCCACACCATTGGTTTGTGCATACCACTTTGAATTGTGTGGAAATTGAGAAAATGAAAACTGTGTGGTAATTGTAGGTTAGATTTAAATTGAATAGATAAAAAAATAAACCACAAAAATTCTTTATTAACATTGTGCTTTTAAATCGTGTTTACTCTTTGTTTGTTACTATGTTTTTTACTACTAATATTATTCTTGGCTTTTCGTGTCCCCAGCATTCAAATAGACCAGACAAATGGTTGTTTTGCCATTGAAATTTGCAATATATTGAATGGGCCCATAAGGTTTGTCATTAAACGTTTTACTTTACATTTTATGTACTGGAGTATCATTTTTTAGTTCTAAAGAAACTGAAGTTTCTCAAATTTTTCCTATTTTCTTCATCATCTCTTCCCTTTGCTCCATTTTCATTTTTGGTGTCCATGGATGCTTATATAATACTCCCTCCGTCCATGTATGATCTTCCCATTACGCGTTACGAAGCTTGACCGACTTTATTTTCAATTCAATTTAATTGATTATAGGAGTAGAATTTTAAAATAAAATTTATATAGTAATAAACTACATGAAAAGTTCTACAAAACTAGAGGTGACAAAAATATATTATTTTATGAAATGACTAGTAAAATTGAGTAAACAAAGTGAGTAAAGTTTGACCCTGTGAATAGTGACTGTGAAGATCTATGGTGGACAGAGGGAGTATATATTTTTCAAAGTTTTTATTTTTATTTTTATTTTAGAAAGAAGTCTAGAAATAAGTTAGGGCCTGTTTAGTAAAGGTTAGTTGGCTGAAAGAGATATATTAAGATAGCATAGACTACGCAGTTCAACCAATTAAGCCAACACCTTCGTATTTTGCTTATTATCATCACATAAAATGGAACACTTAACTGGTGACTGAGTTTTATCATGTTCTCATTGACTGAAGCTCCATTAGCATGGGAAAAATGATGATAGAACATGGACATGATGAAGCCGAGGCTAGAAGAAGTGTTTCTTTTGCACGTACTAAAAGCAATACCAGTTCTCGTTGCATTCAGTATTCTTTCCCCCAACAGCTGGAGAATGACAGTGAAAGTGAATCTGTATCAGAATCAGGAGATATTGGGGATAGGGCACTTAGCAGCAATATGTCCAGTCGAAGTGGTAGGCTGTTATTTTCTGTTGAAAATACTGCCGAAAGTGGTTTGGTTGTGCCTATTGAAGAGGAAGGTGCTTGGCCACATGATCCAACTGCTACAGATAATGTTTCTCCTGTTACAAAATCTGGAGATGGAATGAAGGTGCATTTTCCCCTTTCTGTTTTATGTCACTAAAGTGTGGTCCTTTTGGTGACTGGTTGAGTTGATTTGTGTTCAGAATTGTGAAAGGGAGGTGCCACGGTGGTTGGATTATATTTCAAGCCTACTGTTTCTAGCTGTCTTTGGAATATTAGGGGTAAACGCCTACACATTTCGCCTGATTTGAATGTTAATTCAGAACCCTTGCTGCTCCCGCTTCTTCCGCAGTCATCATGTATCTGTTTCCCTCTGTGCCTTGAAAACAAAATTTATTCCCTTCTCTATACGTCCGATGCATGGTGAAATCTACTGTCCAGAAACTTCTATTAATTTTACTCTAACTAAATTATTTTAAAACCATTTTTATAAAAGCCATTTATTGCTTCTCGTAAAGTTAAGATTTTTATTGGTCATAAAATCTGCAGGTATTACTGAGGTATGTTCTTGAAATATTGTTTGGGCCAGGAAATGTGGGTGCTACAAGTGATCAAAACTATATGTATCTCGATCTTCCTTCTAATATGGTAACATCTTCGTTCGGTTGGGACATGCTAATGCATGTTCCTATAGAACATCTTTTTTATAGAACATGCTAATATGCATCTTCTTTGTATATGGTAACTTATGTTTATATGGTATAACACTTCCATGAATCATCTCTGAATAAAGTTGCAGTACCCTATAAAAAGTCATCTTCAAATGTGGGAAAATAAGCATATTTTAAAGGCAGTTTAGCTTAAAAATAAACAGATTTTAAAGGCAGATTAGCTTGGAAACAGTAAAATGAACAGATTTCAAAGGCAGTTTAGCTTGGATACATGGTTTAACAGCTCCTTCTGAATGATAGAGTGACCATGGTTTACCCTACAAATGATGATTACATTACACTGTTCTATTTCTTCTTTGTTATGTCTTTTCTTTGTCCGACTTGACAGGTTGGTTCATTTTTAATGGGTTGGTTTGGGGTGGTGTTCAAAGGAGACATTTCCAAGCTTTCAGCTCAGTTGGCCATTGGATTGACAACAGGTTTTCTAGGAAGCCTTACTACGTTTAGTGGTTGGAACCAGAAGATGCTTGAGTTGAGCGTAGAAGGTCGATGGGTTTTTGCAATACTTGGCATTCTTATAGGTAGAGATTTATTTGTAGAACTACTTCAGTTGTCAACCTGCTGCATCTACTTTATTCTTCATCCTTTCCACATTCTCTGTTTGATCAAAAGATTAAGCCGACATTGGCAACCATCTTCTTTCGTGTATGATGGAAATTGTCATTCTCGCAGGGTTGTTTCTTGTTGCTTACTCCATTATTTTTGGCATTGAAACTGCAAAAGGTCTTCAATGGGTTCTGAAAAGAACTGGAAACAATAGAAAATCAACATTTGAATGCTCTTGGAAGGTGAACAGTCCAAAACGTCATTTGGTGGTCTCAGTAATACTGCTTCTTACGTTGGCTTCTCTGTGGACTATATGTATAGCACTCGAGATAAGGAAGTTCAAAAAGGGAAACAGTGAATCCCGGCTGTGGTTGGCATGTCTTGTTGGACCATTGGGTGTTTGGATCAGGTGGTTCTTAGCTCGGTTAAATGGCCGTGGTTTAGGAAAATCAGGATTGTTGAAATGGGTACCCTTTGGAACCTTGATTGCCAATGTGTCTGCAGCTTCTGTCATGGCTGGACTAGCAACCTTGAAGAAAGTCGTATGTTTTCTCATCCATTTTTTAAAGCACACGATAATCATTCTGAATTGCCCATCTCTTTTTCACTTTTCACTGCACATAGGCCTTGTTGGATTGATTTGGTTATCAGAATTAAATTACATAAAATAAACAGCTTTTGACATACCTATACCTATTTAGCTCTAAACATATATTCCTAGAGAAAATGGATATACCCATTTCAGCCAAATAACCCTTACCAAACAGCTCTTAATTCATGTAGATTAGATAGTAGCACGTTTGGAATGATGGGAATTTCCTTAACTCTGGAGATTCACACAGTATGTGGGAGCCCCCAATTTCAAAAAAAGTGAGGATTCACTTGGGACCAAGGAAATTCTTTGGGGTTTTCAAATCCGAAACACCCTGTCCTAATCCAAACGAGGCCTAATAGTTCCGAAGCTATGCACATGGATAAAATACCGTAGGGGTCCCTGACTCCCTGTATTATATGAAAATGTTAAAATTAGTCCATGTACTTAAAATAGAAGCAATTTAGTCCATGTACTATCTTTTTGTTCAATATAGTCCTCTTCATTTTTTCTTTTTACCCTTAGCGACAATATCCGTTTATACTATAAATATATAGATATGATGTCTTAGTATAATGTATCATATTTTTTTTATATAATTTTAGTTATTTTAAAATAAACAATTTAATCCCTATATTTATCCGTAAAAGTAAATAAATAAATAAATGCATATTGCACTTGATAAAAAAAGTGTTCTAAAAAATAAGTATGAATGTGCATGGCAAAACAACATTTCGATGTCATCTATAGCAAAATAAGACTTCATCGATAAGAGTTCGACACTGGTTAAGGAAAAAAGTGAAGAGAAGGACCTAATTGAACAAAAAAGAAAGATTAGTACAGGGACTAAATTGCTTCAATTTTAAGTACACGGACTAATTTGAACATTTTCATATAGTACAGGGACCTCTACGGTACTTTATCCGTTTGCTCAATGATGTGCACATTGTTGATTAGAACAAATTGTGAGCCCAACTTGTGTATGGTGCAGGTAAGCACAAAGGACTGTGATACGTTTGTTGGAGGCGTCCAGTTCGGGCTGCTGGGGTGTCTTAGTACGGTTTCTACCTTTGTTGCTGAATTTCACGCCATGAGAGAAAGCAAACACCCTTGGAGAGCGTATGCATATGCCCTGGCTACAATACTCCCATCTTTCATCTTTGGGACTCTATTATACTCTGTGCCAGTGTGGATAAAGGGATTTTAATTAACTGAGGGTTAAGCGGAGAACCTGATTGATAAGTTCCAGGCTTGTTGATTCAGTCATACATAGTACTCCCTCCGTCCCAAAAAGTTTGTTACGTTTAGAAAAAACTGCGTCCCGTAAAGTCTGTTACATTTCTATTAAAAAACCACGTTTACCCCTTACTTTTTCATACCCTACCTATCACATCATACTTTTTTTCTAATAATCTACCCATCACATCTTACTTTTACCCATCACATCAAGGGTATTTTTGGAAAGTCAATACCAAAATATCTCTCCCTTAATTTTCCAAAAAGTCAAACCGTCCCATTCTTTTTGGGACGGAGGGAGTATTTAATTAATTGCACCTTTTGACATTTGAACTCAATGTCATATTATGACATTGGGCTCATTTGACAGACCTACCGTGCTCCATTTGACTCTGAGGTGACTCCTACCCCTACAAACCCCCACCTTTATGAACTATCAATTTTGCGAGCGGAGTACTATAGCATTGAGTGTCCTCCATGGCCATTCAAAGAGAGTAACCATAGAACCGGATATATATGATATTGGTGGCCAATGTCAAAAGAATTGTCCATGTTTATCTTATCTATCATTTACTCCCTCCGTCCCAATTTATATTGCATGTTTTGGTTTACGATGTTTGAATGAAATTATCTTCAAATCATTCTATATGAGAAATAGTATAAAATTAAAAAAATGAAAATTTCATTTTAAAGTAGAAAAAATTATCCAGAATAATCCTAACATTACCTAATCTTTTAAAAATAATCTCACATATTACTGTGATGCATAATACTCTCAAATTTATTGAAATTTGCATGTTTTGAGTCACCGTTAAGTTGCTAACGACAGATTAAAGCAAATGGCCTATGTTGCGCAACAAAATGAAAGCAGGGGTTATTTTGATAAATTTTGGTTATTTAATTTATTTATTTTTTTTGAAATTTTCATTTGAATTTTTAAAATTACTTTTTTCCTTCCATCATTTCTTTTTGTTTTTTAAAGAATAGTCTTACTCTAAAAACAATATTAGATATAAAAAATAACGAAAATGACTTGAAACTGGTAAGAAATAAAGAAAATTATACGGATTGGTGGGTTTTAATATTTTACGAATTATACAAAATATTAATATACCACTTCTTATTTTTAAGAAAAAATTATCTAGAACAATTCCAACTTTAGTAGCCCATTTATTCTTTCAAAAAATAAGTAGTACATTAATATTCTCTATTGGACATAAAATGTTAAATTCACCATTGAATATATATTATTTTATTTCTTACCAGTTTCCGTTTAATTTTTCTTGGTTACCTTATTTATTTCATTAATTTTGTATGGTTTTAGTTATTTTTCTCATTTTCGTTATTTTTCATACCTATTTTTTCCAAGGCAAGACTAATTTTTTAAAAAAGAAAAATAGATAGAGGTAGAAAGTAATTTTAAAAATTTAAACAAAAATTTCAAAAAAGAAATCATCTAAAATAATCCCAATTTTCATTTTGTTGCGCAAAACAGGCATTCTCGTTAACGTGCCGTTACCAAGTTAAAGGCGACCCAAAACTCGGGATTATTATGCATCACAGTGAAATGTGAGATTATTTTTGAAAGACCAGGTAAAGTTGGGATTATTTTGAACAATTTTTTCTTTTGAAATTCTATATCAAAAGATTTACAAAACTAGTAGTGATATTACTATATTATTGTATAATATGACTAACGAAAATAGAGAAGGAAAGTGAATAAAGTTTGGAGAAATTTACTTAAATGGTACTAATAGTAATGACTCTCCCAATATACTACCATATTTTTTAATTTTCCAATATAGTACCACTGTTCATTGTCCATTGGTCATTGTTCAAATAAATAACTAGGGTCATTGGAAATTATTCAAACTAAATGTTCATCATCACTGGATATTATTTCCGCTACTAGACATTATTCAAGTACTATTTAGGTAATAAAAAATTTCACTGTTACATTGGAAAATGACATATGTTTTCAGGGTAAATTCACTAAAGTTTGATCATGTGAATAATAAGCATACAATTTAACTTCGAATAAAGGAAGTAATAAATATTTAATTCCACTTAGTAAAAAGTTTGGAGTTAGTTATAACTAATTAGTAAGGGGATGTTTGAAGTAATTTTTTTGTTTTTGGAACAGAGCACATTATTATTAAACAAACCGCCAAAACAATTCAGAGTTACAAATTCCCTCTACTGGATCAAGTAAATAGACAACAAAACAAACAACAGCTATCTATTTCCTTTTTGTGAGTAATATATCCTTTATTATCATAGTTTGGGGTACTACAAAAGAATGCTCACAAGTTGATTGGAATTAGGCCTTGTTTTTTCTAGTTTAAATTTCAGAGTTGGATGTTAGAAGAACTAGAAGGCGTTGAAAGAAATAGGAAGAAATTTGAAAAAATGAAAAGAGTTGAAAAATGTTAGAAGAATTTAAGTGTTAAAAAGTCACTCATTTAAATAATCATCCAAATAAATATGTAAGAAAACTTTATTTTTGGATAAAAAAGAATTTATGTTTGGGGTGATATGTTATAAATTTGAATATACAATTTATTTTACATTAATCATATATAAATATATTTTTAAGTCAATGGAAGAAACTGGAAGAATTTTGAAGGAATTGAAAAGATTTGGAAAAAATTGGAAGGAATTAGAAGAAATTGAAAGTTAATTTTTTCCAATCTAAAAGAATAGGGCCATAGTGGTGAGAAAAAAGTGGAAACCCAAAGACAGTTGTGGCCTCTTCTCCCAGCAAATAATATATACACTCTTCCAAAGATTACACCATAAGTAATTATTGGGAGATCCTCCATGCTAACTGAATAATGGGTAGTTTACTTAAATATGACTAAAACATAATGACTTTCTCAATATAGGATCACATGTTTTTATTTCCTAATGTAGGACCATTAGTCATTATCTATTAGTCATTATTCAACTAAATGTCCAGCATCACTTGGACATTATTCTTCTCACTGGTCATTATTAAATCTTATTTAGAGAATAAAAAAGTTTAAGTCCTACATTGAGAAATGACTTATGTTTTAGTCCTATTCAGTGCAAATTTTACAATTGAATACCTCTTACTCTCCTAGGCCTGGGCGAGATTCTTGCTTAAGGACTTCTACTAGATTAATTTTTTATTCTATCTAAATTCAATTCCGTGGGGCTATGATATGAATGTTGATACGAACGTAGCGAGATACGGAAGAATTTTGTTCAAAATCCAGGACGGGTAGAAACGCTGCGAAGCAGCATTAGAAGAATCCATATACAAAGAAAATGAAGAACGACTTGATAGACTTAGCGAATCACGTATAAAATACTTTCAGATTAAAGTTATTTTGAAGTATGCCAAAATACTTCAATCGGATAAAACGTAAGTAATTTAGAACGAGTAAGGAAGTTCTTTTGTCTCGAAACATACCCTGAAGCAGTAATTATTGGGAAAATTTTTAATGGACATATTGGTTGATGAAATAATATGGATAAAACTCCAATGTTTGCACACAAATATTCGAATGTATGTAGTGGTTAACATACGAACGGTTATTTTTGCAGTTTACGTGAATCGTTACATTTTATTGCGAAATATTTGAATGTTTGAGATCAAACATTTGAATGTAACGGGTTGTTTTACAAAGGATGCTAAAGATAAACATTATATTCGAATGTATTGTTTTATACATTCGAATGTACATTACTTTGAACTACGTTTATGAAAATTCAAAGAGTTTTCATAAAGCAACTATGTTCAAAATAAAATCTTTGACATAGTTTCGAATGTATAAAACGTCAATTGGACCTCACCTTTGCCATTCCATTGCTATGAAAATTGTAATATCATTGAACGAGTGTGCACTTCGTACTCCCAACCTCGTTAACAACGTCTGTTAAAATTTTCATCCATTCTAAGTAAATCCCAATTACATACAATAGCCATTACAAAAATTACCAACAACTTTTTATCATGTTCAAACTCCAAGAAGAAGAACGAGAAAGAGATGGAGATCTCCGAACGTTTCCTAGCTTCCAAGAAAAGAGAAGAAAATTGAGAATAATTCTTGTATCGATCGATCCTTATTCTGAGGGGTACGTCTATATTCATAAATGATAGGGAAACTCTAAACCTAGTACGACTATAAAACTTAATTTTGTTTGTTCAACAAATGCAAGGATGTAAACAACGAAAAAGAAACCTTCAAAGAACTTTTTAGTTTTTATCACATAATGAAATCTAAATTACAATATATAATAAATAATTATTACTTAGTATTAAGTAATAAATAGTACAGAGTACTAAATTATTCCGCAATTAAATAACTACTCCACCATCGGGATAAACTTCTACTCCTTCCGTTCCATAAAACCCGGCCTTCTCCTTTTGTTTTTTTCCAATTCTCTTAAACACTTCCACTTTCTATCACATCATACTTTTTCACTAATAACCAAATTATCACATCTTACTTTTACCCATCACATCAGGGGCAAAATTGAAAACTCAACCAAAAAATTACATTTTCCTTATTTTGGTCCAAAGTCAAAATAGGAAGTGTTTAAAGGAACGGAGGGAGTATATAAGTGATGTCTTCAGAAAAATGAATGATCTATCCGTGCACAATGGAAAATCAAGCTCGAGTTTGAAATAATCAAAGTCTCATCATTATTATTACAAATGAAAAGAAGAGAAAAATTCACCGCACAAAGGTTGTTCACGAAAATGGAAGGATAATTCTCTTGGGAGCTTATTGAAATGTAAAAGATAAGTAATTACTGGGGAAGCTTGTTTAGCTTGCAATAAGCAAAATCTTTGTACTTCTTGGTCTTGTACTTCGCAGGGTTCTTCTCATCAACCAACTTGGGAATGGGACCAACTTCAAACTCAGGGGGCGGCTCCAAGAAAACAGGCCAAGACATTCTTGTCTTTTCCTTGTTCACCGTCGTCCTGTGGAGCACGCTTTTGTACTTTCCGTTGCTCAGAATCTGTCAAAAAATTTCAAACCTCAAACAAATATGCAAGATTGCTCGCGAGATGATATTTTAATTGGAGTTGCATTCATTGTTTTCAATAAAATTTAGCTAGCCAAATGGTTTAAAAGCGTCGGATGAGTTGGAAGG